AGCATTGGAAAAGTAAAACTGAAAAGTTACTCTGCGGGTAACCTACAATTAAGTTTATTAAAGTTTTCAATGTCTTAAGACTAAAGTTTTCTGGAATAATGAAATTCGGATCTCACAAAAAAGAAGTTTTTGGACTTACAGATTAGAAGTATGTAATTTAACGGAACTTTTATATCATTGAACATTGACGTTACAAATTATAGTTTAAAAAACTAAATGATGATTATTGTTTTAATAAGAGCAAAAAAGTAACAAGTTTATCACATATATGCTATGTTCTAGGAATTAAATGTTAGTATTTTTTAATTTTAATAATATCTGTGTTGGGTAATATTAATTTCTGGAAAATACAATGTTGATGAAAGGAGTACACAGAGGCGTTTAATTACTCCATCCTAAAAGGCCGACAACGCGTTTGTGACTCCTGAGTTGCAGACGTCCATGGGCGGCGATGGTCACTTTCCATTAGGTGACCCGTCTGCTCGTCTGACTCCTCTAACATAAAAAAAATATCTAAACACCATCGTTACGTCAAGTAAAATTTAGTTTGACTTACGAAATTGATGGACAACGGGACGATTTGGGAATTTAAAATGACAACATTGAGAGGATGCCTGCTATTGAAATATGTACATGTTATTAAAAGAAAAGGAATGAAAGCATTATATTATATACTAGATCGGATTGAACTGTATCCGGGAGTGGAACTCGAACAGGCTATTGCCCATGATTACTACTTCGCTACCCAATCCCGTCATTAGTTTTAAACTATACATTTATTAATGTAGATAATTATTAACCATATATTACGTTTACGCTAAAAATTTTTCAGCCCCACAGGTCGGCACTATATACAGTATAATAAGCAAAGGTCAAACAAATGTTACACTTTTTTAAAGCCCTAAGGGTAATGAAATCATACGAGCGCATAATCGTTGGCAGTGACACACATCACCGCTAAGTAAGCAATAACGTTCTAGGCCATATGTGTTTCACACATAAATAAATATTAAACGAGCCGCCATACATACAATTATATTTATTACTTATATACGTACAAGATACGCCGAATATGTCTTTGTTGTTAGACTAAGCAAATTATGTCAATTTAATCCAAAGTCAAGAAAAATTGTTTTAGGGGCAAAAATCAGCCTCGCCCACGAATTTAAATCGATTTTAATGTTTTTTAATTATTGAACAATTATTCATTTTGTTTAGATTAAACGAAAAACGTAAATATTTTCAAATGAATAATCAATACATATTGATTTTTAATAATATGCTTTTTGACACACTGTGCGTCGTATCAGTCTCTGTACATGTATTACTATACAAAAATCCTTACTAGAACAGTAAGTTTCCGATAGAAACCGATTCAAAGTCTGACCAAGCTAAACATACATTCAATTGGTATCCAATACTCTCGTCAAATTTCACCCATATTCATATCATAACTTTACACATCTCACACACGCCTTCTGATCCTGAGGCAGTGAGAGCCTGTGCTCTGGTAACGAGAATGCTGATAAACATACATATAAATTTCCATATATGCAAATGAAAAAAAAATAAACGTTGCTCAGTGCAAGGGGCATTATTAGTGCATAAAAAGAAATATAGTATCGAGCCGATTTGCAAGTTTAACACTATATTTAGAAACTTTTAAAATATTATGAAAACCGCTCAGCATGTTGTAAGTAATGATTATAATGAACACAACAATTAACATTTTATGAAATTAATAAAAATGAAATAATACATTGGCTTTTGCTGTTTTTTTTTTAACCAAGGCATGAAGGGCGGGTTACTTTAGAAATAGTTATTTTAAAAACAAATAGTACTGCATTGTCCCTGTCACCAAATCTAATATTTTGTTAGGTTGTAACGCAAAAAATGTCACTAGCTTACGGTCAATTTCGCCATAAGACATTTCGCAAGAAGTTACTTCGCAAAACTTCACTTTCGCCTATATTGTCATTTCTCACATGGGTTTTTTGCAGAAGGAAAGAAAAGAGATAGCCGACTTTTGGGCCCACTCGTTACAGCAAAAACAGGCAATTGAGAAGAATAAAATGTCATTCCATAAACAAGGAATAATTTAAATTTACAGTTGTTAAATGAACTATTTGTTGTTAAATGAAACTATTTGTATTTTTGTCAAGTTCATTCATTTCGCCGTGAAATTAAAAAAAAAGAACGTTTCAGTCCCTAAACAAACGTCAGTGTCAAAGTATAAAAATGTCAATATAGGAAATGCCGCCGAAATACGAATCCTGGTTATCTGTTTTTGTGTTGCATTTCTAGCCTTCTGGTGATTTTTTTTAAAGATTTTGACTGCTGTTTACTACTTTGTGCAAAATATATTTCGTAAGCAACACAACCTTTCATAGATTTGGGTCATATTTTTTTGATTCTGTAATTGTCAATCGAACTGAAACTATGGCAGTCTAAAGAGCATTTTCTTACTGGCTAATGACACTAGTTTGGAACTTTTAACGGTTCATGAGGATTTTAGCCCAACGATGTATGATAGGGTGGGCATTCTCCTTTTAGGTTTTAATTAACTTATTAAAAAGCCATAATATCAGTAAAATAGTCAAATCAACCGAATGACATACCAACAATAAATTATCATCAAATTTGTATTATGGAAATAATTTTTAACCGACCTCAAAAAAAAGTTTCTCAATTCATCTGTATTTTTTTTTGTTTTTTTTTTTTTAACGTTTGCTGCTTCTGAACTCCTTCAGTAATGAATTTTAAATAAAAAACTAGGAAAATTAATCTTTCCAAAATGTTTATTGAAAAGAGGAGAATTTTTACTACTTTCGTTTAGTCACATTTAATTTTGTAAAAAATACATTCCTAAGAAAATCAAGTGAAATAATTATGAAAAACAAGTAATAAAGTATAGACCTACAGCCAATTTTCTTAAAGATGCAAAACTACGTACTATCGTCATTTGCAGAAATGCAGCAATATTGCGCGTATTTAAAAATATTTTAAGAAAGAAACTAAAACATTTGTTTTTTAGAAGCAGCAGAAACGTTTATACCTTTCGTGATCCGTGTGTGTAGTCACGGAGCCTAAAAACCTAATTTCGGAAAATGCCATTTTGTGATACAGCTCTGAAACATTTATTTGTTTTTGTTTGACAGATTTTAATGAAGAAATATTAACAATGCGGTATTAGAACTTTGGTCAAAATAGTATTATGACAGTTTCTAAACAAAATTGGGCCATTAAGCTAATTACTTACAAGAATTTATTGCCATACAATGCAATAAATTCTTGTAATGCCATGCATGTGATATATAAATATCTCGTAAACTTTACTCAAACGTATACCAAAAATAAATATTGAACGGATTCTTAGACATTTAGGTGTTTAAAAAATGTCTCACGTGACACAATTTTTCTAATATAAACCTTTTCTTTACGGGTCGTGGTGCTTCCTGAACCAGTCCGCGGTTCCGGATTCCCCTATAGATACAATAATTACGCAGGCCAACAAAATTCTTGCCCAGAAACCAGAGTATACCTTCCCGAAGGATTTTGGTGCGCTGAAACCAATTTTAGCCGCAGATTAGCTCTATCACGTGAGGTTTGTGAGATATTCTAAACTAAAAAGGGTTTCTTCAAGTTTAGGTCTTCAGCTTTCAAATGACCTTGAGTTTGCTTAAATATCATATTTTTTCAGGTAAGAATATTTGTCAAATTTTGTTGGTCTGTGTTATTTTGAGTAGGATATTGGACCACTAATAAAAACAATTTGTCTTCTGAAAGTACGGTCAACAAAAAAACTGAAGTTATACAAATAAAACTATTTTAATATTAGACAAAACTTCTTTTATTAAAAAAATGACAGCCTTCTATTAGAATTAAACCTAAAAACAATGCTCATTATGAAATACAATTAGGTACTATAATGTTGAATATTTAAACATAAAATTACAACAGTTTAATTCAGAACACTTCTACTTATTATAGAAGGCTTTTTGAAGAAGAATTTTTGAAATAAAATGAACATTTTGTCGTTGTATAGAAATTAATAGTGGAAGGCGTAGTGGTTTGTGTAACGGACAAGCTACGCCTAAGGTCGCGGTTTTATAGGTATTCATAGGGGATCGCGGTCACGGTCCCGAAAGCGCCCCGACCACTAACCTAAACTGAAGTTATTCTGTTGGCCAGGTTACATAGCCAATCTATTTATAAGCTTGTAGTATTTACCAGTATTTTTTCACAGTGGCCCAAATACATATAATGCTCTGTTAATGCAAAAGGTGTTTCGAAACCAATCTGACCTTCTGTACCCCGGTCTGTTTCATGCATTCGTGTTTTTTTTTGCATTGAGCGTGTGTTTTTATCATTATTTTTATGGCCGAGGCTAACACAGCAGCGTTATTAATAATTTATTTTTGTTTCAGGTATTTAACAATTATCGCTTAATTACAACCAACGAAACGTTTAAGGTGAGGTATATAGTAATTCCATCACACGTACACACTCCTAAATCGGCAATAAAACAAGAGGTTAATTGGGTTTTTGGTTGTTGAGCGTATCATGGCGTCTATCACCTAAATAAATGTTAATTAAGTAACTGTATTGTGTTACTCAATTTGTTGTATTAGCAGAGACATGGTTGTATACGAGTAGTTTGTTTATAGTAGTCGTTTTTACAGTAGTAGAGTAGTCTATTTACAATGGTTTTACAATTTATTCAATCATTTAGTAGGGTTTAATTAATACTTGGTTACTCATATACGTTTATCAAAAATGAATATTGTTTTTGCCATTTCCTTATTTTGTTGTATATTTCTTTTAATTAAAAAAAATGAATTATGAATCCAAGGTACCTAAGTTTGTTCCAACCCAATCCTACAGAAACGTGTGTCGCTTAGTTATTGTTGAAACTCCAGTTATACAGCAAATGTTATAAACTTTTACTGGAATAGTGCACTCGGTCGGATGCAGGCGTTCGCGCTCGGACTTGCTAGTCGCTAGTTTGTTGGCATCTCGGCGTCGTTGTAGCGAAGGTCAGTGCTCCTGCGAATCCGCCCGTAATGCTCTCGTGTTAGAGTCACTACTGGTAGACCGCAGGAGAGAGGCGGCCGGAACGTAGCGGTGGGGTCCTCGTATCGGCCAGCCGCGCGTTGCCTCCCTTCAGTTAGTTTAGTCTCAGCGGTGCACGCACACCGCACGCAGTTCTCGCGCTCGCAACGAGAAGGTATGCGCCGCCGCAGTAACGAAACACACTCGCTTCCGGTGGGCTGCTCTCCTTTCAACAATCGCTGTCGTCTACTTCGCGTACGTGATATTGTGTCGTAGATGATTACATCCATTAAATTAAATTATCAGTGCTATGCATATAGCGCTAGTAATTTAGATGAGTGCAGCTTTCAAGAGCGTGTTTCAAACGTTGCACATATTTTAGCTCAGTGTTGTTGGTTTGAATCAGTGTTAAATAAAAATATGTGTTGAACTAGATTTATTTATGTGAAAGTGTTTCAGCCTTGTTTGTCTTATAATGTCATAACAATAAACCACTTAAATACATTTATAAACACGGTTTGTGTTGTTATCTTGTACTGATGATGTATTCAATAATAGAGCTAGGGCACAATCATGCAAATGCACCGCCGCTGGTTGGTTTACCGCAGCTATTTAATAAACATTCATGATTAATATTAAAAATGATATAAAAATATTGAAAATTACGATTTAAACAATACAGATTTCCTACTCGTTATAAGCACTGGTACATGTCGCCCGCAGAAAACTTGTTTTCAAACCAATATGTGTATCGATGCATCTGGAGTCGACAGCCTAGGATGTGTCGATCGCGAGCCATATGGCCGCTTCGCCATTAACCATATTAGGGATGTAACCAAGGCGACACTTGTTGCACTTATATGGCATAACTGTTCCACAAAAGTAGCAAAGGCACTACTGTTGTCTTAACACTATTTACCGCATAATAATAGATTTGTTTACAATCAAAAAGAATTTGAATTTATAATTGACCTGCAGTGCGTTTCTCTGGTTACGTACTTGCGGCGTGACTGTAACTGCATAAGAGACAAGGTAGGGCAACAGTTCGCGAGTGCATTATGCAAGCTACTAACCCGAGCGGCCGGTAGCTCTCGGGACGGTTCGTTGACCAGTACGTTGTCCCACCGCACCGCCGCCCACCGCGAAGGTCGCGGCCCACAACTCACCGACACGTCTGTACAACGCACAACACACACCGATTTCAGCGAAACCTATCACAATTATTATTCAGTTCAACACATTATTCATAAATATGTGGTATTTACAGGTAGAATCGATATGTGTTCAGTGTAGTGCTGTGTTAAAATATTTTTTATTGTAAAGTAAAAGTAATAAGTTTTATATGACTGTTGTTTGGAAATTTTGATCTCAAAATGGTGACTTCGAGAATACCGGCTTATTCTCTGAGTTCGGAGTTCAACAGGGAGTTCAGAAGTTTCCGCATAACTCGGGCTACGCCACGATCAACTCTGTACGCACCAGCTATTGTGCCTATACATGAATACCCAAGAGTCAGCGTGCACGAGCGGAGGGAGGCCCTCAAAGCTGCATTAGCAAAAGCGTGGTCTTCGAAAAGCACTGACAGAAAAAAACACGATACTTGGACCGTTCCCAACGAACAAAGCAGAGCGGGCATAATAACTACTGAATTCACCAGAAAGTCACAGAACGATGACGTTTCACACGTCGCACTTGTTAAACACGAACTCGAGAGCAAAGACACTGAACGGACAGATGCAGTAGACCACAGGGCAAATAGTAGTATGTCAGTAAGTTTTGCATACAGTGGTGTCAATAGGAGCGGCATCGACATTCAAGAAACACTAAAAAAGGGCTGTGATAAAGGTTTACACACTAAAGATTTAAGTTATAGCGAGTATCTGAACAATGTTCCTAAATGTAAAACTAGTTTCGAAAATAGCTTCCTCAAACAAAGCCATGAGGAGCGTTATAGTAAACGAAACGGGTACGATGCCACGAATAAGCGAGTCGATAGAGATATCAACCTAAACAACGTCGAATACAGCAGCCTGAATGGCGACACGTACGATTCTTTGAAGTATTCGCGTTCAGCGAACGGAACAGAATCAGTGCAATATAAAAGTTACGGTAAGGCGGACACCGTTAAAAGTAAATTGCTCAGCACAGATAGCCCCAAAAGCGTGACGTCTTGCAACGGCGAGAAATTAAACGGATACAGTGGTTTGGAGCGACGCAGTGCAAAAGAGCAACATAGGCCTTTGACGAGCGGACCTAAAGCGGTCGTCGAACAGAGGCTTGCCGAGCGTCTCGAGGTGAAGGTAGCGGAGCTGCCGGCGCTCTACCGTGGTGTTGATTCCTGGACACCCAAATCTGCTGCCTTCCAGAAGAATATGCGCGACCACGAGTGGAGCGTTTCGTATGTACAACTGACAAGTCAAAAAACCTTAAAATTTACTAACAAATTCCGTTCCCTTTATTCCGAGCACAAACCTTTTAAATCCATGAAATTCCATTAAGAAGATAGGTTGATGTGTGGTGAGAGAGCGTTCAGCGATCTAAAGTGGCGTTGGAATCATAGAGAATACATTAATAGACAACAGTGCCAACTTATACTAGCTCCGATTGAGTGCATCTACTTGTCACTAGTCCGGTAGTCGAGAGTAGAAAAGGCTTACTAATAGTTATATTGGTCAATAATAGGAGTAATAAGCAATGATTGACATACTTGACAATCAAATATTTTTTGTAGATGTATAACCATTCCACAACCTTCAGAGGTGTCCACCCTACACCATAGTTGTCCTTTATTTTATCTTGGCCAAATAGCTTGTCACTTGTCATTAAAAAGATCCCTATTTCGGCATCTTAATGTTAAATAATTGATCATCTACATTAATAATTTTTGCTCAACCATTGTTTTATTTTTTACATTTCCAAACAATATAGCAAGTATTCTGAACAGATTCGTGGGCGTCCAGTATAGCCATAGCTTAAAAGATTCGTCTCGATCGCGTTCACGGTGAATGCTTCAAGGTCTTGTCCTGGTTTATGCGCTTGCAAAGGATCTGTCAACTTAGTAGGCGTTATGACGTAAGTGGAACTTATTGATTTAGTTCCTACCTCCCTACGATAACTGAATAATCACGGCAGCGGCTATCATACTATTCTGGACACAACACTTATTGCAAACAAATTTTTCCTCACATTTAATTTAGGAAATAACTTACTAAATTAAAGGATCCAGTTGTATCTTAACTATAGTTTTTAGGATAGTTTACACATTTAAAATTAAATTAACTATCAAGTGTAGTCCAATCTCTCATTTTGCTAGCGACCAATATCTCTTATTACTGTCCATTCTAGGAAACGTAAACAATGGCGGTAAACATTCTGTGATAATACGCGTTAATTTGAGATATGTAGTAGTACAACAAAGGGCAACTAGCCCGACCCTAAGTGGTACTTTTTTCGCGAAACACATTGTGACAATCAAAGCTACATCAGACACGACAAAATTACTTATACTCTTTTACAATTATGCTGATGGTTTTGTATGTGGTATAATATTTCCTGACGACGTAAACGTTACAAGAAAATGTGGTTATGTCGTAACCATTAGGCGTGCTGATAATACTAATAGTGGCATTAGCGTCCCGCTCACGTACACCAAATGTCTTATAGTTTGTGATCAACTTTCACTATAGACTTCTTGCAGCACTTGAGCTGTAGTTATGCGACGCACTAAGCTTATGTTTTAATCTGACAAATTAGTGAAAATTACCGCTGAACAATGGAATTATATTAATGTTTTTGGTATACTATAATTCAAAAACTCTCATTTAAATTAAACATTCTCATTGTAGTATACTTTGTATACCTACAAAGTTTTGTTCATAATATTATGTTGCTTCTAACTTATTAATAAGATATAATCTTGATAACTAAAACCTATTAGTCTTTTAAGTTTTTTGGCACGGCGATTTGATTTATTATTTCCGGTAGTTAATCTTAAATCTTTATGTCTAGCTAAACTGTAAAGCTGTGAAAGCGTCGAAAATAATAGTGTCCAACTATTAGCCATTATCGCGCTCAGTATTAGTTCGCTGGCGTTGAACACGCACGATTGCCATTGCTAATTTTGTATCGTTCAGAAATTGCAAAAGTCGATCTAAAATAACGAAAAGGGTCATATGAATTAGAGCAAAACTAGACGTAATATTTTATAAATTAGTTAAATTTTAATTTGACATTTTGTGTTTGATATTAGTATTGCTGGTATATGAAACCTAATCTCTACAAAAATGTGGCCCGGTAAGTCAATACATAGGAGTAAAAACTTTTTTTTTTTTTTGGGTGGAAGCTACTTTTTGGCATTTTGGTTTCAGTTATTTTATAGCGCTACACTTCATCTAGACATACATTATCTAAGTTACATCTAAATATTATTTGTATAAAAGGCAAAGCATTGAGCGCTAGAATTAGTTGGGAACGCTACGTCTCGATTTCATTATGTTAAAAGAGACGTTGAAGTTCTTCCTACGACTTGACGGCCATAATTCAATACGTTTGTCGCAACATTGCGCATCGAACTAGCAAACTGACAATACCTAATCTATCAAAAAAAACTTAACCGAATATTTTATTACCATAATATATGGTTACCGAGCCCTTCTTTCTTTCCTAAATAATTAATATATAAGCGAACGCAAACACTTTAAAAGTAGTTTTCCCCATAGGTCTTACTAATATGTACTTAGAACGCCTGACCCATGGGGCATTAAATGCCTATGAAACTTTTTGCACACCAGTGACGGATTTGTCTCTTGATCTATGACCGAATCTCGTATATAATTTAAAGTACTCGTAGTAGATAGTGCTTGTCATTGACCCGACGAAATGTGGCGCAGGCGGGTGATTAGACGTGGCTGCAGCGTTGACACGGTTCACAGTAATCGCTCATCCGGCGTGGCCTTGTCATCGTCGAGTGCCTATTCTGGCCGATAACATTTTGGTTGTAATGCCATAAAAATGGTCGTTCAATAGATAGTCAAAATCAGTTTACTAGTTCGATGCGCAATGTTTGCGACACCCATATTGAATTATGGTCGTCAGTCGTAAGAAGAATAAATAGTGAAATCGAGACGTAGTGTCCCAACTAATTCTAGCGCTCAATGTTCTGCTTCTTATACAAATAATATTTAGATGTAACTTAGATAATGTATGTCTACATGTATTAAATATGTTCATTGGTCAATCAATAAAAATCTAGTGTGAAAAAATCTAAAAGGCGTGGTGAGGGTTAGACAACTGTTACAAAATAATATAAGTGTTAAAAATGAACAATACAAATGCGGGCTATATGAAGTAAAGTGGATCCTTGACCGGGCCTGTTTACGTGGCTGACAGTTGCTTTCGATTTCGTAAGTTAATCCGCAGTATGCAGTGGTCGGTGGTGGATTGTTTTTACAGCTTCTGAACACTATAATAGATAATTTATTTACTTGGCAAGTCACTTAGGCTAGGTAATAAATCATACCACCTCGGCATCACTTCTGCAGGATACACTATTCGAAAGATATAGTTTTTAGCGATAAGTATCCACTGTATAGTCATATATCTCTGGCTGGGCATGAAAGCAGTATATAGAAAGTGCAATTTAGAAGTGTAAGATTAGGTAACAAGGTATTAGGTTTAACGATCGTAACATTACGATCATTAAAAATGCAGAGATAAAACAGTACTATTTATGTTTAGTTTCTAAAAATGTATAAACCGTTGTGTGAATATCGTTGAACGTCCATCGCATTGCAAATTTAAGGTAAAGGTATTTACTAAACTTATTTAATCATCTCCTTATGCCGTAATGTCGTTCTATTTGACTGCGATCTGATTAATCGTCAGATTTTGGATTGTTGTGATAACACGAAATAAACAACTTTCTAAAATCTCTTCTACCAATATTGACAGTAAGCTGAGTGTTTTTGGGAAAGGAGGGCGGGGGGGTGGAAAACCGAAAGTGCACGCCGCGACGCCATAAAACAAGTCGCATACGCACAAGTTGGCTTTCACCTTCAACACCCACCTTAAATTGTAATTAAAAGAATCCTCGATTACCGACCCTATTGAGAGAAAAGGAAAGCATATTAACTAAATTTATCAAAGAAAATATAAGGCAAAATAAAGGTTTATCCTCAACACTCTCAAATAATTAGTCTCAATACACGAAAATGTGTAATTCTGATTTTAACGGGTTTAGAGCACAGCTAGTTTGCACTTAGTGCTTACAAGAATCTTAAATGTTACCTATGTCGGTGGTCGTCGAAAGTGAACGTTCCGGTGTTTATTATTCGCGACAGGTTTCGTATCGATTGACGTTTGTTGCTTTGTTGAACATTGACACCACCATCACCTCCTCTAAAATTTACACACGTTGTGCAATTATTTTATATTCACGACTAGTACATTTTTCGGGCAAACCCGACTATTTATTTTAATAATTAGCTATTATATCAAATACGGTATATTCTTCATGTTGAATCTAAATCTCCTTAAATTTATTCCGATGTTTAGCGGCAATTGTCCGGCATCGACTTTGTATTTCCTCAATTATAAATAACAGCACTCTATACATTTATGAAACTAATTCAGATCGCTTAACCGGTCTAATTACGTTTTCACATAACTATGCCAATTAGGCTACAATCTAACATGCATCAATATTTATTTCAAAAACCTTTAATTTAAAAAATCATCAAAGCTGAATCGACAAATAACCCAATCTGTTAAAAAACTAATAAAACGTGTTTAGCAGAATTGATCTCAGCGACATGCTTGTATTGTGATAAGTTCTTGCAAAGTCAAACTTCTGAATCTAATCTAGTGAAAAAGGGTACGAGTCAACAAATGTTTGACTGGACCGGGAATCGAACCCGAGACCATTGGAATAGCAGTCCGTTACACAAACCACTACGCCATTTGGTCGTCAAATGAATTCGGTCCGCAATCTTCCCTTCACACAGTTTCAAAAAAATTTGCGACGCCTTTAGCCTATGACTGGCAGAGCATGCGCCTACCACTATCTATAGGTATCTCCTTTTTATCTTTATATGTATAGTTTCTCTATATATAAGTTGGGAGCAAATCAAATGCACTTAGCGTCAACTCCTCAATATTAAAAAACCACACAATTTTTGTATGTTCGTTATTAGAATGTATTGGTGGTTTAAAGTGAGGGTGCAGCGTATGTTTCCTAAAATTGTAAAGCGCTTACAAAATAAAAGACAATAAGTACATTATTTTTAGAACAAAATATTTTTTTAAAGTGACTTGACTTTAATTGTATTAGGTGTCTTAAATGCTTGCTCGCGAGAGTGCGTGGAACTCTGCCGTCTCCTTCTGCGAGCAAGTTATGCTCGCGAAGGAGACGGCGGAGCGGGACCGGGAGAGGTTTAGGACTCTCCCGGCCCGCCAGGCCCGGGAACTGGCCAGGTACCGCAGGCGACTCAGGCGCCGGAGGTCGCAGAACGACCTCCGTCCTCCATAAGCGCAGGCCTGGGGGTGACAGGTGAGGCCATCTGTCACCCTAGCAGAAGTAGGCCGGCGTCGCAAATCATATGGCGTTAAATATGCCTACGAAGGGCCTTCAAGCTAGAAACAATCGAGTGTTCAAGTTCAACTTCTCGTGTGGCGCTAGACAAAGTGACATTAAGCTCGACATTAGTAGCGACGCCCGCTTACGCAATCGGGTCTGAGCTCGGTTAGGAATCAACTTAATGCATTATCGTTCAATCTCAGAAGATAGATAACGCAATTTGCTACAACAGTTATTGTTGGCATAACAGAGTAAGAGCCACCGATCACTAGACATTTAAACCCCTCTTTAAAATCCTATAAAAAAATTAAAATCATTGAAGAAAAAAAATTGAGACCTAGTTTCGTCAAAGTAAATTATATTTATTTATAATATTTTTGGGTCAAATGACTTTATCATTCATTGTCACATATAGTAGGATAGCAACTCCCCACCAGACACCCTAATAATAATATTGTAGAACTCGATAAACTTCATCACACAGAAAAGAAGACAGACCATTCCTCTAGTATCAGTTGGTATATTTAAAAGGTTCAATTTCAGATTTTATTAAATGAAGAAAATCTGATGATCGAGCCTGTCTCTTGGACCATAATATTGTGATTAGGTCATGTTATCTACAGTTTCAATATTCCTACAAATAACGCATTGTAGATACAATATAATATATAAACTTAAATGACTTACTTACTTGACTTAATATCCTAAGTACCCGAGATGGGGCAGAGGGCGTCCACAGTAGTCTACCATCGCGTTCGGTCCCGAGCTTCGCGCCTGACCTCACTCCACGTCTCACCTCCTTTGCCACAGTGCGCCAGCAAGTTTGCTTTGGGCGGCCACGCTTTTATTTTCCTTGCGAGTTCCAATCCAGTAAATTTATATATTATTATTTTATTATATATACAATTCAAGTGCGATAGGAATACTTACTTGTACCTACATGGCTAAGTACAACTACAAGTAACTATTAATAATGGAGCTGGTTAGCTCCATTATACATTTACCAAATCCTCAGCATTATAAATAGACTCGGCTCGCAACGTTCATGTCTCTCCAGTCTTGACTTTCTATTTTCCAGGTAAAATCATGTTTGTTCTCCTAAATGTGAAAATAAATGCTGTAAAAAAATATAATTGCCAGCGTAGCACAAAATACTATCGCGTTATGACTACTTCCCACTAGATGTCACTAATTTACAATGACTCTAAAGTAATTATACTCTGCCTATTCATTTATTTTCTTACTGACTTTCTGACAGTTACTGTTCGTCAAATAGTTACACTGATAACACCTAAACTGTTTGCTAATGTGCTGATAAACCTAAGTTTTAACTTGAATTTTATTTCTCATCAAATCAGCCTATTTGCTGAAGAAGGCTCCCTGAATCATTCTTTTAAATTTTATTCAACTATGTTCAAATGAATTATGTATTTAATATGCTTAGAAACATTCACACATTGAAATAAGATATTTAATCTTAAATTTCTTTTACGATGAACGTAGCACAAAACAAATTAGTCAGATGTAAGAAACCACACAGTGGTAACCACATTGTAGGGATATATGTATTAGATCCTTCTTAACACATAAACGTAGCTTTTCTAGCGGTTTATCTGTCGCGTGTTCACTCTGTTAGAGCGGTCTCGCATTAATGCCAATCCGAATCCGATCCGAACCCGTGAAAATACGATCAAAATGCGCTCTTATCTAGTATAAGCAGCTGTATGTTAGAACTTGTAGTATGTAGAATTAATTTTACTAGGTAATTAATTAAACACTAACCCTCTCAACCACACAGCCTTTGATTTTAACAAGCTCACAGAAAGTTCATGAAAATGTACAAAAAAGTTTATTTTGTACTAAAGTATTCATATTTAAGATAAGTTAGACAGGAAGATGAAAACAATAGCAAGTATTCTATTTATCATAATGTATTGTCAACTTTATATTATGTCTCTATAGTGTTATAAATAAATCTGTGTAACTATTACTTTTAAAATGTTGATAATAAAACAGACGGATGAATAACATTTTATATAAACGAATAAATATTTAACGTAGCGAATATTCTTGATTTTTTTAACAACACGGCTATTTGTTTCATTATTCAATCTGAAATATATTATAAACATTAATATTTATTTGTATTTTCACTCGTCGTCCGTATTTGTATTATGCCCGGGACATAGCAAAGGACGTCTTTCATAATAAAAAGGTTGCCGAGAGGTAAGAAAGTTTAGTTACGAAAGCAAAGTCTTCGTTCTTTCTTCAAAAGTACACTAGGTACTTTTGAAGAAATTTTAATTAAAAATAGCTTTTACAATTTATTACTGCATTAGACAGAACGCCTTAGTTTACAACTACATAACTATTTTGTTCGAATGTCGTATTTTTCATGTTTGTACTTCAAAAGTTTAGTTCAACGGCGACGGCGAAGTGTAACTGATTTTCTAATGAATATCATTGTAATAGACAGAATTGCAGAAATTTAAAATTAATCAGATATGAAATATTATTTATCATCATTTCTAGTTTCTAGTATAAATATCTGCATTTGCGTAACTTCCACTGCTACCGTGGCGGTAGGTAAACCAATAACGTGCATTAAATTCTATTAGTGCTAGGTACGCGCGACACTCGTAACACGTAATATTTCTTATTTTCAGTGTGTTCTTACTTGTGACAAGTTAAAATTTATTTTACTAGAGCAAATATTTCTTTTAAAGTACAGCTTTCTATATTTGATGATGGTATACATTCCCATGGGAGAAAAAACACGCGCTTGTCTATAATTAACAACAGATCTTGAACTCTCCAGGTTTGCATGATTGATGGTTAGTCCTGCAACAATAAAATTGATCAATTTTTCAATCTTATACAGTAAATGAAGAAAAAGACGTATTTAAAAACTGCATTAATAAGTTGTCAATGTATGTAAATAAACGTAGAAATAGACTAATTGCCATTTTCAAACGAGGACGTTGCATTGCACTACTTACGTGAAAATTTAAATTATTCACTTGTTGGGCTGTGACGAGCGGTGTTTTGATATGAAGCTCGTGTTCATACATTTTTAGTATGTGCGGTCGGCTTTCCACAGCTGTCAGTATTCCTCCGTCCGCCGCTCGCGCCGGCTCTCCCAGTGACCGAACGTGTACAGCTTAAATGCATAGCGCTGCCCAGTTCTACCGACTATCTCCCAACCAATTACTTCTTGTCTATAAATCTTTTACCGACATGGTCAACGTGTTATCACCGTTGCTCACAACACTCACACATGAGTATTTACGAAACGCCTTTGACCTTGACTGTGAAGGCACGAATCATGTTTGAGATTGTGTTTTTGATGTAATCGTTGGGTACGGTTACAATATTCATTAAATTCATTGCTCAGTATGGAATAAAACGCGGATGTTTTATAACGTGTTACTGTCAGCTAAGCGTATAAATTTTATTAAAATTGTATTGCAGTAACATAGTTTTTAGAGACAGGAGACCATTAAAAACCTAGGCACGGGGCCGGGGCGTTGGTCGGCTGTGCGGGCGCTGCTAAGCGCCTGCTGCTTGCCACCTTCTGACCATCTTACTCAGCTGATAGACCCACATACAACACATGAGAAATACTCCCCAACGTTAGTAACACTTTGCGCTGTCGCTCTTAAAACCGTAGCACACAAACATACCTATCTCACCTAAACGTTCGTTGTCACTTTCTGCACTATCTTTTCCTACTCACTAACCCTACAGCCAACCGATCAATGATTTCACAGCTCGGAGCACTCGTGGAGGCGGAGAAATGAACGCTCTAAACGGTCTCATCATCGACGTTCGCCTACATCACACAGGCGGAGGAGGCATCACCGCGACGAGTCAACACCGCGGTCGCCCCCAGAACAGGTCAGTTTCACGGTTTCTTTTTTTTTTGAGGATGTGTGAAAGGATGGTGTGATTCATGAAATCAGCACTCGCCATTACCACAGAGAAGTGTCCACCCGTTAACCGGTCTTTTCCTCACAACGATGGTTCCACACTTACATGCCGTAAGCAAAGTGCGGAACCAGAATAAAGCGTAAACGTCAGTGTGCCTGTTTGGGATAATACGCGCGACGGGTTTGGCTTGCGAATGCGCGTGCGCGTGCGCCTTCGCCCGTGAAGATGTGCGCGAGAGACGGCGACCTCCTCGCGCTTGCGCCCGTTCTATTTGTGTTCGCCTTCGTCACTCGGAACGCCTTCAGTCAGTCGCAAAGCTCAGCCGGCCGCCCGGCGCGTCTCTGCCGCACCAAAATATTAGTCCGCCGCGTCGGGCCACGGGCGGCCAGCGCTGGAGCTATGGCTGCCCAACAGCCTCCGCGTCCAACTCCAAACAACTTACTATTCTGCGGACCCCCACCTGCCCTGCCTCACGTGCTGCTACTGCCTAATGAAGCCACACGCACCGTCACACATTTTGAAGCTGCCCTCATTGCTGACAATCAAACAAACGATACAGATGCTTTACGCGAAATAAACAACGTGGGTTTACCCACTTATGAAGGGATCTTCCATGATCCAGTACAAGTATTCGATGAAAATCAAAACATGGAGTATCAACTTCCACCAGAAAACTATTTACGACGAACTCAAAGTTTTGATGTTTCTGATATTTACGCAGCACAAATTGTAAACGAAACCGACCCGAATGTATTCCGACAGAGGCGTTCGGAACCCGATTTATCAAAGTATGGATTGTTTGCAGTGTCTACGGAATGTGAATCACAACAAATGCAACACCCCGCTCTAGTACTAAACAATCCGTTCTACGATGGTTCATATGCACTGGATCCACACCAGATAAATCAAACTATGGTTGCTTTACCTGAAAATTATTTAGCTTTTGAAGATTCTTTTGTACCTACTTGGGAGTATAAACCAGAATTTATAATCGATAGACAAATAAATACTGAAATGTGCTGTGACGGTTTACCCTTAATACCTTCTAATGATCCATGGTCTGTTTACTGTAACGATTTTACTGCGTTTCAATATTTTTCACCACATTACGAAGCATCTCTAGGAGAAGATACTATCCATTATACGCCATTAACTGATCTTGACTACGTATTACCCCAATATATGAGCTTACCAGTGATAGAACAAGCCAATGTGGAAAGTAATGTAAATAGTAATAATAATTATAACAAAGTAGAAGTAGCAAATGCTTCTAGTGTTATTAACGACCCATTTAACAAACATGATAAAGAGTCAAATTTACATAAAACTGATGTGCCAGCAATCGATTCTGTTGTGAGCAATGTATTGATTGAAGATGACAAAATTTGTGCCACTGAATTTTCCATTAAAGAATCGTCTACCCAAAGTGAAGAATCTTTTAACGCTGATATTTCTAACGACGTTACTTCTAGTTTAGCTTTTCTTCCAAGTAGCAAAAGTTCACAAAGACCAGGTGATGCAGATGATACTAGTGAAGATACGTCTCCGTGCTCTACCGATTATCACGAAGCCTCTGCACTTGATCTAGTTCAGAGTCTTGATGAACTCTCTTGTTGTAATAGTACTGATTACTCCCAAAGTAGAGATGACGTCTCGCCGACTATTCCCGAATTACCCAAAACTGTTAAAAAGGAAAATCAGGACAGCGTTTCCGCAGTTTCCAATGCGACGAACATATCAAATCTACCTTTGAATCAAGTTCCATCCATTCCACTTCACGATCGAACACCGGGGGAAATGCCTCCTATACAAAATTCTTTGCCTGAAAGAGAACCTGTTCAAACAAATATGAAAGTACAAGAGGAGGTATCACAATGTGCAGAATCGACCAAAAACTTAGAAAATAGAGTTCAACAAGACGTAACTAAAACTAATAATACCCAACAGTGTAGGACAAATTCACAAACTATATCCGAATTATGTGCCTGTGAAAACAATCATATTAAAGTTATTGATAATGCGTTGAAGACATCACAACAGCCACCTTTTCCACCAGCAGTACCCACGTCTTGGCTGGCTACAAGACCTAGTGGCAATCAAATAAATTTAGTGCGTCCACCACAGATACGTGTCCAGAAGGCTGATGGTGTTGTGACAGATAAACCGCAGAGCCCTAAGGTAGCCCCACACCCTGCTATCAAGATATCACAGTCTAGTACAGAGCCTCAACCGTCATGCTCTTATGTACAAGCGCAACCTGCAGCGGCGTTACAACTCAAACCAGAGAAACAGACTAAAGAAGTAGAGGTCAGCCTACATATTATTGTAACATTAACAAACATTTAAAACATTGCTATATCACTATTAGATGAAATACGTGCAGTACTAAAAGTACTGCGCCACGCGCTGCCAGCGCGCGTGTATTGAGAGCAATGTGCATCTATTTTAGCATATAATATTAGGTCAAGGATTTTATTGATTACTTATATTCCAGTACTATTTTAGGATATTCTTATACACATATAATGGATCTTCCTGATATAATTTGTTAAATATATTATTTTCGCTAACCAAAATTTTGCTTCACTAACAGCAACTAAAACTATTTATTGCGTTTTACGGCGACGACATTGACATACTTTTACTTCAGTTTAATTAATTTAGTTTCTTATGAGTTTTCAACAACAATGAAATTGTTCCTATTTTTCGGCAATGAAAAATGTTATGTTTATAGCGAACTGAAAATAGTACTACCAGCTGGCACAAACTACGAGATTCAAATGGTGATCAATAGATGGCGCTGTGTACACTTATACGCTTAAACTTGTACTGAAGACATAAACGACGCATGCGCACAGAAATAGTATCTCGGAGATCACCTTCACCTAGGAGAGACCGCCGTCATACATATGTACTGTATTATGATAACAGTTCGGGCATGTGAACAAACGATGACGACGACCACCCACACAATACACAAATTTTATATTCATGGGATGTGTTACTCTTAATAACTTAGATTAAATCTGTCAATTATTAAAAACGGTATGGATTCGAGATATTCTGATAGTTGATAGATTCCAAATTCGACCTAAATAATGACATTTTGAATTATTTCTTTTATATCATTTGCCTATTAGCAACAATTCGAGCTATTAATTTTTAGTATAGAGTAAACTATCATTGACTTTGCGTATACCGTAGTTAAATATTATATTGAACACATTTTTTAGTTTGATGAAACCGTTATTACAATTTTTTTGTAAATATTTAGCGATATAATTTATTTCTAAAAAACTTAGACATGTGTAAAAAAATACAGGTTACGTTAACCTAGGTGTAAAAATATAACGTCTCAAAAATTTCCTTTCTTCACGTGCGCTGCTTAAATGGTTAAAGATAAGACGAAATAAAGTGCTAATGAATTGTAGGACTAAAAACGATCTCCAAAAAAGTTAGCGATATATCTATCTATAACAGCTAAGCTATAAAAAGCGTTTATATATTTTTAAAATTATTAAATATCCACTACATACTTTAGATGCATTTTTTCGTGTTATTATATGAATCCTTGTGAAATTAAAGTGGTGATGTGCCGAGTCGCTGTTTTGGTGGATCGAATCGACTCGAGTCGGTTTATACGGTATTCGAATCATGACTCGATGCCGCGATTCGAGCCCTGTACTCGAGTTCTATGTTTGGTATTCGAATGTTAACTCTAGTCCAGGACTCGAGTCTAAAAATTCGAGTCCAGAACTCTAGTCTGGAAATTCGATCTAGAACTTGAGTCTAGAAATTCGGGTCCAGAACTCTTCTCTCCTGGGATAGGGCCTGATTAGGCATGGTGTCAATTCGGGGAGGACCTAAAATAACATGGTCCGGGTCCTCCCCAGAGTAGGACACCTGAGGCCGGCCGTCGGGTTGGTTTTTAGTGGAATCATCACATACTCCTGGCTCATAGTCCCCGAGGAGTAGGAGATCCGAAGGGATTTTCCACCCCAACAACAAAAAAAAAGGCGTCACATCATTCCTTATGTAAACAGATATCGATTACGAGCGAGTCAACCTAACTCATACGAGTTAGTTAGCTAGATTTGAGTCACATGGAATCGCTAAACAGAATCGAGTCAGCAAGTACAAATTCGATTCTTCCTGACTCGAGTGCTGGAATCGAGTCCGACGTACTCGAATCAAAATAAATTGGTATTCGAATAAGCTAGTCTTAAGCAGGAATCGAGTCTGACTTGAGTCAAGCCCTACTCGGCACATCGCTAAATTAAAGTATTTCATCATCGAGATAATTTGAAGTGGATAATTTTTTGTTCTAACGCCATTACAATTGGTTAATTCCTTAAGCAGATATCATTTACGAGTAATTAAGAACATTTTATTTCAAAGTGATGAGTATAAAAATACACGAACCGTTTCGCGCGCCGCGATGTTTTCTTCTCTATAGAGTGGCCGAGGTCCGGGAGGGGTTAGGTCTATGTGGTAAATAGGTGGCGACAGCTATACTGTTAGGTTTTGCACAAAGTTCACGCGGGCGAAGCCGCGCGGGTCAGCTAGTATTGTATATATATACCAATATATATTTCTGTTTCAAGAATATGCATAAATTAATTATACCTATTAAATGCATAAGCGTGAGTTATAAAGGAGATAAAACTAACAATAGAAGCTCACTAGTTACACTAAATATACACTCGTAGCTAAATCGATGTTAACGAGTCTCGTCCGACCAAAGCAGTGTCGTACTACGAATCATACCGAGTCTTACTCTGCTACATTTGATTAATAAAGAATGATCAAGAGACAAGTCGCTCAATTGTTTTGAATTGTCAAACAAAATTATAAATTGTATCTCGTTGAAGCCGGCTCAAAGGAGATTATAATTCTCGTGAGAGGTGTAACATAAACTGTTACTACTAGGAATATTTTGTCGTAATACGATCAAAACCGGAACTTATTAGAAAGTATAAGTTTATTACAGATGTCTTGTGTGTTTATGTGCATTTGAACCATGATATTAATTCATTTACTGCTTTTTTAACAAGTGTAGAGCAGTAAAATTCTTTGAAAATACTAAATTAAACTCGAAAATCTAGAACCGGCCTTAAAATAACCAAATGTAACAAGAGAAATATAAAGTTAGTGACGGCACAATAGAAGCAGTCAAAATTAATTAATGAATAGTTTATGGCAGAAATATTGTTGAAATTAATGGTTAGGGGCCAAGTTCATAGGTATAATATAGTTGGTATCGCGTAACATTGATACACTTGGCCAGCGGCGTTCGAGATATGATCTGATAAATGCGGTACCGTTTTACCCACCTATCTACTTGGTAATGTCCAATTCCTTCCGGCCGACCTTGCCGATATCGCCCGTGTTGCGCAAACCGTGCAGTCTGCGTGAAGTACATTTAATATTTTTTTCAAATATAGGAACTCATAAATCAACACAAATTAAATCATACGTAGTTATGAATATTAAATTAAAAATAAAGTTCTATGATTAAGTGATGGAATCTATTAGAAAGTGTGAAGTCAGTTAGACTAATAAAGAGTCGCAAAAAATAAAACATATTATTATTTTCAATAATAGGCAATAGTTTATTTCTACTAGTGATTATTTTTAACTTCTCTATCATATATATCAAAGATATTAGTGATGAAGATGATGATTATTTACCGCTTGTACTACTAAGAATGTAAAAATAAAACTTTTAGTACACAAATTATTTTGTCAATATGGCTGATGTTTTTCATCTAAAACTGCTGTTCATCGATCACTAACTGCCATTTTATAACAAAAGTAAAACGTATCAACTGAAAATTCCAATATCTGAATTACGGGCCTTAATAGGTACATGTCTCAAATAATGTAAAATAATATAAATAATACAATATATACTATACCAAGAATTTAAAATGGTTGTTTGGCCCTGAGCAATAATTTAATATTTCACATGTCAGAATTAATCGTTATGAAGTGAATGTGTAGCATTTTAATTGTATTTAGTATATACGAAAGAATGCTTCGCTTCGAGCGAACTCATCTAGCAGTACCTAGTTTATTTTTTAGATAATTTTTAAACATTCCAACTTTTACTAATATTAACAAATTTAGTAACCTGATTATTGTTTTATTATAAATGATAACATAATGACTGATAAAAACAAAATTGACTTAGTTTTTATTTTAGTCGTTTATGACTGATTTATAGAATTTTCCTGTGATTCATTCAATGGTGTCAGTTTTGTTGAATGGAAGTCGGATAAATCCTGTTTTAACAGACACTGAAAGCTTCAAATTGTTTGCTCCATTTGTGCATGCCATCTTTAATTAAATGCCATGGAGCTGTAGACTCACGCAGTTTGGTTTCGATCGTTGAGCGGGCAATACATTGCAGTTAGTGTTTTATTCTCATATGTCGTCCCTGTTTTCTGTGATGTGTAGATTATGTTATTATTAATGTTGTGTCATATCGCAGTGAACTATAAGAGAGTGAAACCATAGTTGTATAGCGCGTTAAGTGCACAGTTGTGTTAGAGGCGTCGGGCTGGCCACCCGCCCCACGCTCAGGCCGATACGCTCGTAATTATTTAGTGCAGTGGAGTGCATAATGACTGAATTGTCATTAAAACACGACCGTCCTCGACTACCCTTGCGGTTTGCTTCATTTTATGAGCTCTATAAACGATTTCTAAAGGAGCACGGATGCAAATGGCATGATGTTTCTAAATTACTCTCTGTTGTTGCGGAGATCCTTTTCGATGTGGATGGTGCCTGCAGTCGGCTTGCGGGCAAGGTCAGTCGTCATCTTTTAACTGACAAATTATTATAAGCGAGAAAGTTTGTTGGGATGGATGTTTGTTATACTTTTACGAAAAACGGATCAATTTTGAGAAATTTGGTACACAGAAAGGGAATAACCATTATGACACAAGCTGTCGGCAAAAAGCTAGTTAGCTTTGATTTGTTAATTACTTAATATTTCCATGTTCCTGTATAAGGTACCAAAGCTAGCCAGTAGTACCAGATTAATTTCATCAGGTAATTAAATAAATAACAATAGTTGAAAATGTTTTAGGCATTAACAATACCTCTTTGTTAGAATTGTAATAGTAACGTGTATTTAAGTCTTAGTAATATTGAAGTTCTTTTTTACGTGATACAATAGTTTAAAAGTGAACCGAAACCGATAAAACTTGAGAAAGATTACACTTCTATCTCAACATTTAATTTACCCTTAAAATTCTTGAAATGCTTGGCAGCTTCCGCGCCACCATTGTTGTGCCACGGACCAATCCCCATCAGACTGTTTTTACCTGCACCCCATTGCAAAGCGGCCCCAAACAGCTGTCTATCAGTGTGCATTCAAATCAGTACTGACAATATTATATACCGGTGTTCTTGTGAGCATATTTGTGATTTTCTGTACCTAGTGTAATTTAAATGTAATGGCGAATATAATGTATAAATTTTATTACATCTTTACGAGTGAGGAATATTTAACATCAGTGTTACTGTTTGTGATCACGACTTACTTGACTATCTACAAATTAAAAACAAACAGTCTTTTACGCATGTTGCAATTGATCTTTGACTTTAATTATCCCATAATAATATTAGACGAGTTCAGATATCCAAAGGTGTGACACTAATAAATATAAATACATTTGTATAAGTTTATATTTCAACAAAGACATTAAAAATCCGTAAATTTAAAAATTTGTTAGAAATGTTAGAAGCGATTTTAGGTATTTACCATGAATTTGGTTTTACAAACAAAGTTGCTGTTAGTGAAAGTATAAATTAGCCACCGATATGTCTGAATGCCTTCCCAGCGACGGAGTGAGGCGATATTGAGTTAAGAATGCATGATATTATTGTGTGGCTTCCGTTGTACACAAAACTACTTACAATTCCAGATGGTATAACGTCGTGTGACATTAATCGTGTTTAACAAATATTTTTTATTTAAAACATTGTTAATTTAAAATTATGGATCTATAGGTATACATCACACAATATAATCAAGATTGACTTTTTATTGACATATTTTAATGAATACGATCGTGTAAATACATTTTTTTTATAAAATAAATATATAGTAACAACATGATAAGCGTGAGACGGGCACGTAGTAAGGGCGTGTAATGTCTCATCTCCAGGGAGCGCCCGCATTCGCTTGTTGTAAATATATAGTTGAGGCATTGATAAGTCGTGTTTTAAATATTCTCTGTTGATTTCATGTTGCTGTACTGCTTCTAATTTGAGATAAAGTTTGACCTACGGAGTAATAATTACGTGCGTGATATATGCGATGGCAATATTGCGTGCTGGCTTTATGCGCACGCGGTTATATATCGTCTGTGTCGGTCGCGGGCACTGGCAGCATTGTTTAGCGTTCGCACCGCGTTCTACTAACCTATTTACCTACAGCTTATCGGCAGAACTGTCTTGGCTGCTTTGCTGATCAAAGAAATGTATTCATCTCCTATGAAATTTAATAAGATATTGTACGTTTACACTTCTTCATATGCCACCTTTCACTGTGTTAACGATTCTGTTGAAAATCATTTTTTTTAATTAACTATTTTATTAGATTTAAGTATATGAGACTCATCACTAAATAACGAAGGACAATTAAAAATACGTATACTGCATGCTTATGATTCATTTGTAACAACACAATTGTAAATGGAAAAGTGCCTCATTTGCAAATATGGTAAAATTTGTATGCAAAGTAAGGGAGGAAATAGAAATGTTTGCCAAGACAATGACGCAAATCACCAAATAATTATTTAAATAAATAACATTGACTCCAGTCTAAATTAAGTCTGATCCAAATAACTTAGAAATGCTAATTTTTAGAATATATGTGGTGGAAATCTACATGTTTAATAATACTACAAAAACGTATGGAAGTGTAATACAAAGAAATATGTTCGCGGCAGGCACATCGCTGTGTGCGCGGGAGGGCGCTCCCACGGGTTGCCGATATTTTTAGTGCACGACGATTACTTGGCACCGACGGCCGCACTCCGTTGCGCTAGTGATCTTTTTGAAATTCGTTCGCGCTTAGGTACGCTCTCGATCTCGAGATAGAACCAGTCTCATGTCCGTTAGCGCAGCCGGTGCTAAATAGAAAAAGTCACAAGAATTCCAAATTTATTATTAATTCGGTGCAAATGTGTAAATATGACGTTTTTGGAATTCTACATAATATATCCTGGTTAAAGTGCTTGCTATAAATTTGGAAGTGCTAAAACAAACAGTATGGCTAGCCTGAGTACCAGTACCAGTGCTACAACGAGCCCGCGACGCCACCGTTATAATCGATCATCCACAACAAGTGTCACCCAACTGTTGTCCGATGGATATTCAAGTTTTATCAACAGACTTACAAGGCGAGGACCCTCGGAAAGAACTGAAACTGTAGCAGACACAAAACTCACGTCCAATCGAGCACGTTTTGATGAAAAACATACAGCAAATAAGAATACTACAACTGCGAGTGTACGCCGCTATGAGAACAACGGACATATTTCGCCTTACACATCATTGACGTCTGGTGCGCCAATAAAAAGATTAAACGATGAGCGAACGTACTCTTCTTACCTGGGCACTTCAAAATCGCGGATCGATATATCACCTTTTCATTCTACCTCCGGTATTAGCGCACTCAGTCGCAGTGACTCATTTAGAAGAGCTCACTTAAAAGATAATAAATCATCGCCATTCACTACACGATATCCTCTTAAAGAACCAAATAATAACATAGATAGCATTTTCTTGGGTAGCACGCGTAGTCGTTTAGAAGACAAATATTCTTCAGTATTAGACAAAATAGCCGTTCAAAAAAAGGAAAGAGCTAGGAAGGAAAAGGAAGATCGCGATAAAACATTAGAGCCCGAACCGTCGTTGTCACGAGGGCTCATGAGAAGTTTAACCACTGCAGTTTTTGGTGAAAATTCTTTTAAGAGAAACAATTATTCCCGTGAAAAAACAAGGGATAAAACACCCTATAGAAGTACAGCCGACCGTCGAATCTCTTCTAGTCATAAACCAAAAGACGAATACAAAAACGGGTTTGATATTCCTTTGAAAGATCAAGTTCATTATGGTAAAGACAGAGATAGTATCTATCGAAGGCATCACAGAAGATCTCTTAGAGCTGAAAAAAGCGAAAATAGTGACAGGAAAGTAGGCAAGTTATCATTACGACCCGTTGATATAAGCTTACACTCCGGAGTAAGGGATTTGATATCACCAACACAGGCTATCAATGATAATAATATGAAGCTAAAGATAACTAAGACACCAACGTCCTCACCGTCCAGAGATGTAGGACGCCAAAAACAAATTTATTTTCCGTCGAGCGATGAGGACGATGATAAAACACCGGTCGGAGATCGTCTTCTCAGCGACCGAGAGACTAGGCGAAAGGAGATACAGGGACTAATAATGAAGTATGCCCATTTGGATGAGGTGTATGGACGAATTGGCGATAACGAAACAAAGGAAATACCAAACGAAGTGATTGTACCTAAGAAGGAACCATTGTGTGTGGGCGACGTAGTGATGCTCCCACCAGAACTTCGCAGCCGCCAGCGCCCTCAGCGACCACGGCACCTGATGCGGCGCGCGGCTACGCCGCCTGTAAGCACACGCTAACCAACCGCCTGCGCACTGTGTGCCGCTAACATACACCTGGTCCGTGGTTTTTATAATTACACTCTTTACATGGACGTATGCAATGTTGACGTTGTTCTAAATACTACAAGTATTATGACATCAAGGTGTTATTTCCGTTATAAAATAAGGTGTACCACCACCTTCCTTTCCTGCCTATTTAATAAATTTCTGAAATCTATACTTGATTTTATAAAAGAAAATGTATGCACGGATTTCGAAACAATTAATTATATAAATAAGGTAGACAAGTAAATGCAAACTTTTTTGTTTGCGGGTACCTAATAACAGTTTCTCCGTAACTTTTGTGTAACTAACTGTGTGTTGTTGACAGTTTACAAATAAAACTTAAAACATTAAGTCTTTATAATGATAGTGCATGTATTGAGGTTTTTTGTGCGTGGTATAAAAGCTAATATGTCTCTTCTATGTATTAAAATATTCTCAAGATCAAAGTACAAACGAAATTCCGAACGATCTGTCTCCCGTAAAGTTAGTAAAATGATCTACTTCAATATCGAGAAGTCGTTCGGGTGGACACTTTATCCTAATTTTCCTGTGCGTAAGATGAATTGTGAAAGTGTTCTGAGTGCAAGTCCAGTGTCGTATCCTGTCCTCGGATTCTTTTGATCCTGGTCCTAGTCCCAGTTCCGAGTTGGCACGGTGTCGGCGGTGTTCGATCGGGCCGGCACCGTAGCGTCCGTCCGCTCTCTAACAGCATGTACCTCCGACACACCATACCAAATGTCGCTTGTCTGACGGGCAACCGTTCCATTGTCTGATTGTTGGGTACAACACTACTCGGGTCGTGGCGATCGTGGCGCGCTCTCCGTGGCATGTGGCGTGGTGCGTGTGCTGTGCCGTGATGTCGACGCGGGCTGCGTGCGGGTGCGGTGCGGGCGTTCGCGGCGGCGGTGCGGTGCGGCGCTGGCGCATGCAGAGCTCCCGGGCACGCTCCTCCGTCAAAGACGACAAGGACGGACATCTGGTCTACTGGCCCGGATATGTCATGGGAGCGAGATGTTCGTGTCCACACCCATAACTTAACCAAATGTATTTACACTATACACACACACGTGCACACACTACACTGTACAAACACCCTTCATACTCATATTATTTATATACGCTATCGCGTAGTACAGAAAACTACATACATTTTAGCTATACGAGAACCAACGCCTACTGGACATGAGTCACAAAAACATCACACTTACCAGATGGCAGAAAATTGAATACAAAATTAAGCAAATTCTTTTGAGTCAGTGATTCGCGTTTTTGAAGATTCCAGACTTTAAAAATTCCTGCTTTTTGAAATGTATTTTTACTTTTTCATATAACAGTAACAAAACTACAAGATAAAGTCATGTTGGAGCTTCGTACATTGGTTGTCTGTTTGGTCAACTTGAGTCTTGATACTGAGATAGTATATATACATGATAAATTTTGCGTAATTCAGATTATTACTGCGCTCGGTAATGAATAGAATACCAATGGCGAATCCTGCATGACTTTGTAAAATGTGCATTTTTATTAATCTTGTCATCTTGGTCTCATTGCAGACAAAATCATCGACACTCTCGGTGAGGGCACCTTCGGCAAGGTGGTTGAAGTGAAGGACTTAGAAATGTAAGTATCTTTTGCCCCCGTACTTTATATAATATATATGTCATTGCCTAAATCGAATAATCGTTGTGGTAGCATCAGGCAGCAGTAAAACACAACTACCGTGAACGCAACTAACGTGACTACCGCCACTCACTGGAGACAACTGCAACCCAAGTGTCACTAGCGCGTTGCCGCCCTTTGTATCTGCCCCAGAAATAGAGAAATAGGGTATTTTGCGCTCCGATGCCAATCTCACTCGGTGACTCGTAACAAATTTTCAACATCGGTTTTCTGAAATTGTATATAATATTGTTTTGTTTACTTTCATACTGTATTTATGTCAGAATTGAATATATTTTTTCTCAGTTTTCTTAGTATTAGAACAGTGAGAAACTTGTTCAATATAATGTAATATATATACATATTATATTGAGTAAGTTTTGAATGAGACGCACACGCCGGTTGATTGCGTCGATACGATCGGTGTACATCCGCGCGGCGCCGGATGGTGACACATATTGTTTGGCAGGACACGCCTCCCGTTAATTATTCACTTCTATTTTAATTTGTTTATGGCAGCGTCAATTGCGATATTATTGCCAAATTCCTAGTAGTATGTACATAACACTATCTAATTATAAATTCCAGGGAGCACAGAATGGCTCTGAAGATAATCAAAAACGTTGAGAAGTACAGAGAGGCTGCTAAACTTGAGATTAATGTATTAGAAAAGTTAGCTGACGTCGATCCTGACTGTAAAAAGTAAGTATTTGATTGTCTTATGTTAATTATGATTGTGTTGCGGCACATATTGATAGTCGAAGCTGGACGAAACCGCCCAGTGTAGCAATATTTGACCTTGCACGTTTATATGCGACGTTATTGCTCCTGCCTGGCACCACGCCAACGAAGAACCCGATGTCAACTCCCAACATAAAAATATTCTATTCGCTGAACTGAACTTCACATATTATTCGATTCCGTGTTTATTGTAACTTTTATTTATATAACAAAACATCATGTTATGGACTAATAGAGCATATCCCTAACAAATATAGTAAGAACCACAATAAAACTTATTTATTATTCTGTTTCAGCTTATGCGTTAAGATGTTAGACTGGTTTGAATACCATGGCCACATGTGCATTGCATTTGAAATGCTTGGACAAAGTGTATTTGATTTTCTGGTGAGTGTCTCGTTGTTACTGAAATAACTTGTTAAAAATCAACATGTTTATACACACTAAACACTATGAGATATTTTATTCTATCATAGCTAATTATATTTATGGTGATTGGTGTCTGACATACAAGTTTTCAAATTTTAACAAAATGTATCCTTCTTAGCAAGTTAATCGTCTAGCTAATTGTGTATGTGGTTGGCTTACACCATAGACATAGAGAATTGACTGAGCGTTATCCTCACATAAGTGGCCACTCTCTAGGAAGAAGAGACAAACCAACTGTGCGGCCAATACCTGTCTCTTTTCTGCAAGTCCCAATTTTTTACTTATTACGGTAGTTTACTATACATCATCAATTTGTTGAATCATCTTATCGTAAGAATATTGAGTGTATCTATAAACAGATATTTTTTTTAGAAAATAATGTAATACTTTTAATTAACTGAATACTAGACAACTGCTGGCCGCACATTCGCTTTGTCTCTCTCGTACTTTTTCTTCACTGCACAACTGAATACTGCACAACGCGCAGTTCTCTATGTTACTCTGTGTGTAGCTGAAACTTAATAAGAAATGATTAGGATACTCACCATGCTACTATTTAGGACGAAAGTTAACGATACCAAAGCAGCAATTATCAGTCGACAGTAAAAGTATTAGTAATTATGATACTGTTCATAATTTAAACTTGGCAAGTTCCATGTATAATTATTTGTTTATTTTGAAGTCGATTTTGTACCGAGATCTTATAAAAAAGGTTAAAATTCATATTTACCTATGGTTTAGAATATAAGTATCCTATTTCTTAGTTGGATCACTATTTCATTTCGCAACATAACAAGATACAGTGCCAAGAGTCAATGATAGTGATAGACAGTCAATTGTGATACATTGATAAATTGTTTACATAATCATTTTACTCAATTTGACTTTTCACTTTCTGATTAGAACCAGGAAGGCTTAATGAATGAATATTAAAAAAACGAATTAGTCGAGGAATCAAACGTTAGACTAAAACTAATAGTAAACCACGTGAACTACCAATAATATAGGTTATCACGTAATGAAGAATAAATCAATCATACACTCTTAACTTGTAGTACACTTAAGATAAGTAAAAATTGCTTTAATCAAACACTGTCTCACAGATAAAAAACCAACTCAAAAATAATAAAAGTAAATATAAGCAATCGAAAATCTTGGTTTTAGTTATCAGCTAAACTAGATATTGTATAGGTACAAATTTTTTATAAATAGTGTAAATAAAAAATTTGCATATTACAACATATTATGTTTCAATAAAATTTAATATGCAAGTTGTAAATCCTATCTGCTATGTAGCGCATGATCAAATGTTATTCCCTGTTTATGTTTTTCACGTCGTTTCCAGTAAGACCTTAGTCATAATCAATTCAATATTAATTGTTGTTTTTTTCTTTTATTTTCAGAAAGACAACAATTACCAGCCTTATCCATTAGAGCAGGTGCGACATATATCTTACCAGCTCATATATAGCGTGTTATTTCTACACGATAACAAGCTCACGCATACTGATCTCAAACCAGAAAATATACTTTTTGTGGATAGCGACTACGAAGTCGTCAGTGTATATAATGGATCCAAAAAAGTAAGTTCTGATGTAAGTATTCGCAACTTTTTTACTTTGCATGGTTTTGTTCGTTGATACATATTTTTCCGGATCTAATCTTCGCTAAAACGTATATGAATCAATATTTTTTTTTAAATAAAAATATGGTAGAATAATCCAAACCAAAAAAAAACGATAGTATCGTCCCACGCAGGCGACCGCTAGTTAGTTAACTGAATATGTATATTGTTTATCATCTGTCGGTGCGTTCATTCTGTGCAGAAGCACGACCTGCGGCGCGTCAAGCGCAGCGACGTGCGCCTCATCGACTTCGGCAGCGCCACCTTCGACCACGAGCACCACTCCACCATCGTGTCCACGCGCCACTACCGCGCGCCAGAGGTCATACTGGGTGAGCTCGCCTTTACCTCCTGTCTCTCTCTGTCTCTCTCGAGCCCTTGTCGGTGGAGCGATGCCACGCCTCTCTATTTCCTGCATCGGAGGACCTAGTGCGAATTTATTTCACATCAACTTGCTTTCAAAAGTGACCACGTTCGGCGTTGCGATTGATGAATTTCAGTTAAGTTTATTGCGGGCCAATCCCAACACCGAATGCTGTCACCGTGATGATCGAGAGTAGATGTGAAATAAACTCAAACTAGGCCCTGTGTTTGACCTTTAGATAGGCCACGATTCGCACTTTCGCACGGACGTAAACCGCGTGATCGTAATCCTCGAAGATTGAAAGTGTTCAGACAGGCGCGGGGTGTGTGCGTAGGGTGACAGCGCAATTCAATAAAAGAAGTTGAAGAAGCAATATGTCTTTACTTACTACTCCGTAAAAAAATAAAACGAAATAAAACTACAATGCAAAGTAAAATACCTACTAAGTAAAGAGAGCCTTTATTTCCCAATTGAATCATGATCATTATTTTCACCACTAGCCACTGCCAATTCCTATATTTGGCAATTTTAATACATTGCACACTTCGCTAATGAATAAGTCGAGTTACAGCTATGCCATGGATGCATGGACCGCGCGGTATAGTATGCACGTTTTAGTACAATGCCACTATAATAAGCTCCGCGCGGTTGATTCACGTGGTTTACATCCGCGCTGATTCCGCTGTCTGAACTTAATACTAGTTAAAGTACGACAACATTTTTTAGCTGCATGGCACCTCGTGTAGTCTGTGACAGTATAATGTCTATCGTCTAGGGACAGTGAAATAATTTTTAATGTACGAGCAAACCCCATACATAGCAATAGTTTTATGTTGACATTTCATCAAATATATGCAGTGGTTTTAAAGATAGACCTGTAAACATATAAACAAGTAGTGAAGTAGTGTCTAAATTAATATCGTCCCTATTTTGAATCTATTTGGTTTTGAATGAAAATCACAAGTACATTGACTTTTAAAGTTATTTAAAGTATATTTTTGAAAGTAATGACTAATGTAACTAATTTTTACTCGGTTTTTTAACTTTCAGAATTAGGATGGTCCCAGCCTTGTGATGTATGGTCAATCGGCTGCATCATGTTTGAGTTGTACCTAGGCATCACACTTTTTCAAACACATGACAACAGAGAACATCTCGCCATGATGGAGAGGATTCTAGGACCTATACCTTACAGGTAATTTTGAGAGTAATTCATAGAATTGTAGAAGAAAAATGAGAGTAGATTCGCCAGTCTTCAAGGACAATCTTCACGGGCCTAGTGCTTTCAGAGTGTGCCATAAATAATTATAAGTTAGGTATTAAATGCATTAAAACGATTATATATTTGTTAACATGTAAATTATTGCATATATGCACCTACAAATGTAATAATTATATTGCCAGTGGTGGATTCTAGTATTTGGTAGTACTTTGAAAATAGCACGACTGACGCGATTCGAAATTTGTTTGAATTTTGTTAATATTATACAACTTTGGATAGTTTCGTTCATGCTCTTTTTTTATTGTATGGGTTTGTGTTAGATGTACAGGCGAACCTTGCTATATAAGCTGCAGTATCCTAAATATAGGTTAAATAAGTGAAAAGTGGTTAAAGTTTTATAAATGGTTATTCCATTTTAATCCTATATATTTTTCGCAAGATTTTTGCTAACGTTTTACTTAATGAATTATTATTCTATGTTGCTGTATTTTATATTTGTCGTCATGTCGAGCTTGGGTGATTATAAATGGATGAGCTAAAATAGAATAGACAAGCACTCACACACTGTTTCTTTTCAAGGGTACTTACTACATAACCTTAAAAAAACCGGTCGAACTCGTGCGCCGAGGGTTCCGCACCTTCCCATATTTTACGTAGATTTTTGCGAAAATTTTTAAGTACCAAAATGTATATTTTATATTTTTTGGAATTATTTATTTATTTGTGCTGTAAGACGTTTCTTTTTGCCAAATTTCGTGATTCTAGGTCAACGGGAACTACCATAAAGGTTTTCGACCCAAAACCTATAGGGTACTGCCGGTTGACCTAGAATTGTCAATTTTGGTTAAAAGGCAGGTCTACAGCACAAGTAAAGTAAAAAAATTTGAAAATTAAGGTAAATTGTGGTACTTACAAGTTTTCGCGAAAATCGAAATTTTTCCATATCTTGTTGTTTGTCATGTTGACTCAGGACCTTGATTTTTATACACCTAATAGGGACCATAGACCTCAGTATCTGGTATAAATTTCATCTTCCTAGGTCTACCCGTTCCAGAGAAAATCGGTGGTGACACATGGACAGACGGACAAGAAAGTGATCTTATAAGGGTTCCTTTTTTACCTTTTGAGGTACGGAACCCTAAAAACCAATCACAATATTTGAAAGATTTGTAGATTTTTCCACATCGATATAGGCTAAGCATCTATACTCGTAATAGGTATTTACTACTTTTTTCTTTCATGTTAGGTAGTTACTATATAATGTTGAAGTTCCAACACAACGCTAGATCATGCATAATATTGTTGCTAAAAATCGAAAAGTGAGTGCAAACTCTGTATTGAAGCTACATAGATAGACTTTATACCAAAAAATATTGAAAGTGTTAAAACTATCTTAATTATAGATCACGAAACCAGCCTTTAGTAATGTAGACCACCGGTCGAAACATTTCAATGGTTACAATTAAAGTACTTAGCATTGCAATTTATCCTAAATAATATGAAAAACGTCAAAATAACTAGTAATAAAAGTCTTATTTTATTCGGTATCATCAGTATCAATATATGTATACATAAAATTCTGATTAAGTTTTAATTTTGTGTGTTTGTTATAGAATGGCGCGGAAAACTAGGACAAAATATTTCTACCACGGTAAATTAGACTGGGATGAGAAATCGTCAGCTGGCAGATACGTTAGAGAAAACTGCAAACCCCTGTTGGTAAGTATGCAAATGTTTATTGAAATGTACGGTTTTATGCACTTGTGTATTTCGAACTCGCGAGGATGAATCCTTTTTTCAGGTATTAAAGCGTTTGGTCGGAACGGTGTCAGTCGTTGAACTGCCTTAATGTTATGAGTATAAAACTGTTTTTTAGTGAACCTATTAATCCTAGTCTATATGAAAGAAGAAACTGACTGACTGATTGATTAACGCACAGCTGAAACCGCCAAACGCTTTAAATAAACATAAAATTATCAGCAGTCTGGTGGCCTTAGAAATGGCTCTGCTTAGTTTGAGATCAATGTGTAACTATTACTTTAGGGCACTGTTGCGGCGTTTGACCTGGGGTCAGCCATTGCATTTTTCGCTCACGGTTATCGTAAACAATCCACTTTTCGTCACATGTCACAATTCGATACAATATTCCTTGAATTTCTGTACCGATTCAACAAGGCAACACAAGTTTCAACACGCATTTCTTTCTGCAGATCAGTCAAATCATGAGGCACCCATTTTTCATATTTTTTTTTAGTTATTGAATTGGTGCAACTGACCTATCTATTACTTTACAAGATCAATTTGATACTTTAAGCCCTATTATTAAACTTACATAATATAGTAAGTGAGAACCATGTCAGACATGGCACTTAACATTTTGATCTTCATTTCTGTCATACAATAATGGTTGGACAAAAATAACACACTTATTGACGAATTTCTCAGTCTCTGCTCTCAACAGCTGGTCTGAGCTTCTGAACCAATATCCTATGAAATAAGTGTAACAGTTATTAGTTTTGTGTATGCGAGTTTTTAATATATGTAAAATAATAAATGTGTTTGACTCGAAACCGAAACCAAAACTCGAAATTATACAAGAATGTAAACATTCTTGTATAATTTTTAGGAAAGATAATATTATCGAGACCTTCATGCTTTAATGGGCCAATTTTATAAATCTAACGTATTTAAATGGTTACAATGTTATTGAGGCCAATAGGCAAATCTCAATGTGCATATTACAGTCGTCACAAAATATGAAGCCCGTTTTGACATTTGTCATGGTGGCGTAACTAGTGATTAACCATACGACCCGGTGCACGATACTTACGATAAATCGATTCAAGCTTGTAGAGTATTTGATTGATTTGACTATATATCACAAAGTGCATTGGCTTTAAGTTATAATTAGAACATATAACTTAAACATTAATGTTATAGGCAATTTGAAATGATACAATGGAAAGAAATGTCAAACTGTCTTTAATTTAAAAATTTAGCTCAATCACAACAAAATCAAGAAAAGTGAAATCAATCATTTTCTTCTGATGACGAGCCAGATGAGCTATCGTCGCCTGTATATATAATTATTTCATTTTCTATAATATTACCAATATTGACGTCTCTATCATAATCTTCCTTTATTATTTTTCGCGTCTTTTCTACCACTTTTGCCCAGTCTGCTTTAGTTATTTTATCACAAGCTTCTTTTAACAATGTCATTATATTCTTAGTGGAGAATGGTGGCTTTGTATTATGACGTGTTGCGTATCCTTTGACCTGAGCCCAGATTAATTCAATAGCATTGTACTGACAATGGTACGGCGGCGTTCATCTTAATTTTGCAGGTTTATTTTGTTTTACTAATTCCAGCAGTTCAGCTAACAATAAATTCATGTCAGCTTCTACGCCTTTTCTTTGTAACCACGCCACTAAATCTGCCTTTTTGCTTGCTTGAGTAGGTGCCTTATCTATTTGAACTGAATGGTAAGGTGCATTATCCATAATTATTGTACACTGTTCGGGGAGGTTTATTAACAACTTAGTAAACCACTCTAAGAATGTATTTGTATCCATTTCTTCGTGGTATTCTTTTGTACTTCTGGACTCGAATGCGAGTAGAGCATCATGCACAAAACCTCCCCCGGCTGATCCGGCATGGCAGATTATTAGGCGTCCACCCTTACCCATTGGCACTTTTGAACAAGATGCCTTGGTATCATCCGTCCATGACTGTGGCACGGTATGATTCGAGTTCAGCCAAGTTTCATCGATAAATATGACATTATCCCAATTTGTAATTTTGTTCATTTGCCTCAAGAATGATACTCTGTGCAAAATTATATCATATCGTTCCATCATAATTTTCCTCTTGTCGGTTTTCTTGTATTTCAAACCAATTTGCTTCATAATTATTATTAAAGATGTTGCACTGCCACTAAACAGGCCAGCCTCTCTTAGTGATACCACCAACTTACTTACAGTTGGGTACTCACTTCTCGTGTAATAAGCATATACGTGGTTTCGAATAGCATCTGCGTCAAATGTGTCAATACCTGTTACAGGCTTGCTTTTCTTCCTCTTCTTAGGCGTATGTAACACATTTTCTTAAGTACCGGAAGACTCATACTTTTCCTTCAAAATGGTTCGAATAGTTTTTTTGCCGATTCCAAGTGCTTCTGCTACGCGATCTTGCACTTGAGTTACGGGTAATAATGGTCCACCATTAACTGATTCGCGTTCGAAGTATTCGGTTAACTTCACAACCAATTCGCGTGATTGGCTGTTGATTGTACGTCCTCTTTTCGGCATGTTGAAACAGAGTTTAACAACAAACACCAAAATCGAGTCCAAATCGCTGTCTAATCAATGTCCGGAATAGAAGAGCCAAGGTCAACGTGATAGTAAACAAAAACAGTCCAAAAGCAAAGCCGAGTCTAGAAAAATATCAAACATAAACGAGCGCACAGTCAACTTTACAAGATGTAGAACGAAAGACTGCGCAGTACGCGGTACGCGCATGGATCACGTGCCGCTTGGTCATAGACAAACCATTCTATAGGTACATAGAGAAAGGAAACAAAGTATGTACGGCTTTGATAATTCTTTTATAGACTGACTTTTAAGGACTGTTGTCAAATGTGACTGTTGCAAAATGAGACATGACGTTTGAGACAGAAAAATAAGGATGAATTATTTTTTTCAATATCATGATGACTCCGGGTTTTTTAACCAAATCATTTAGTATAATATCAAAATATTCATATTAAATATCAAAATAAAGCTAAAACTATATGTGATCAGATTTTGTTTTTATGTTTAAATATTAAATAATACACTAATTACACATTTATCTCTTTTTTTAATGTAATTTTTGTAAACGATTTTCAGAAACTCTATTTTATTCGGCCATAAAACGGCTTTTTAACGGTTACAACACTACGGCAACCAACCCAAAGACATGACATTGTAGTCCTGTCGGAATATTAATCAACGATTAATTCGTGTTTTTGAGTGCATTTTTTCAATATAAAGTTAAACTTGATGCTTATTTATGATACGCGTTGTGATAGTGTATGGGTAACATCGTAATTAAATAGGATTATGAATATGATTTTTCAATTTCTTACATAGACGTTCATACAAAGTTATCGCGGCATGTCAAATGAGAAACGTCAAAACGGGCTTCTTATTTTGTGACGACTTTATATGATGTGCATTTACTCATGGTAACAAATAAACATGTGTTGCAAAATGTTCATCATCATCATTAATAGTCTGTAGTAGTCCACTGCTGGACATAGGCCTATCCTTAAAAACGAAACAACGCTGGAAAGACGGGTTGGTAAAGGGTTTTTTTTTCAAGTTTTCCTACCCTACAGTGCGCAGTGTTGTCCTGCGTAGTTGGCTCCCTTAGTCGACACTTTCAACACGCACGGGATGAATAGGGGTGGTGACACTCCGTATTCTTCTTCATCCGTCACCACACGGATAAATTTTATTTTGCAATTTGTTGCAAAATGTTATTTCGGGAATATTTTCCAATCCGTTTAGACTTTATTTTTGACGAAAACTTAAATACATTGCTAGCAACTTTTCTTTCACAATTCAAAAGTAGACCACGCTTACACTTAATAATAAACAGTTCTCGGGTCAATTTAAAAACTGGGAAACTATTCAGAATTCAAGAAACAAACGGATAACTTACTTAATGTCATCACGCATTATTTACTGTTTATCTGAAGGCCAATTCTCGTAATAAAAATTCGTCCAAATAATTCTGATCAACTCTAAATTTTTATTACGAGAATTTCCTCCTATTTCTATCAACCTGTAGTTGATAGGAATATTTACTACATTTACACTCAAACCGTCATTGGTGAAAGGTTAGAAAGGACCAAAGTTAAGCAAATAATAATGTTAAGTTATTGTTGGCTCACAAATTTAATAGACTTGATTACAACCTGTAATAAAGTATTTATATTAAAAGGCTGAAAAATCTAATAAATTCGTAAATGTTATCAAGCTCCTCTTTACGATTTTTCAAGTCTGCTTGCAATAGGATTTTTTCTAATTATTTTAAAGATTTTTTTCTGAAAAATGTCTTGTTTTTTTAAGGGTTTTTAAAATGATTAGGTACTTCTTACGTTACTCGTTAATTGTTAAACATTTAAAACAATTTTTAAGGGATGCCTGATACAATGGTCTTATCTTATTCATAAAGAACTATAATGACTTGATTGGCAGGCATGAATGTACCTATTTGTAAAGTGGGATAGCCCAAGTGTTATCTGTCCCAAAAACATTATTATGCCTGATTGTGTAGCACATACAAGCTAAATAAGTAACTTCAGTATTTTGGTATCTAATGCCTCATCTTGTTAAAATTCAGCATAGATTGTTATTTTGTTTTTGGAATTTGCTTGCGTCGTTGTATAATTTCTCCTGACAGCTTCTGTTATGTTCGAGTATGTGGGGTATATCAATAAATAAACTGAGTTTATAAAGCATATATATATCATATATTCTGCAAGTTTTAAATAGTTGTAATTTAAATAGTGTGAAGAAGTTTCTAGAAATACCCACGGTTGTCGTTTTCTTTTAAAATAGTTTCGTTTTGGCATTTCACTGAGAAACGCTTGTTATTGGACTTCATTAATTCTTGTATTTTTTTAATACAAATATAGAACTGATAGTGACATTGTTTGTTTGAAATGTTTTATTTTTATGGTATACGAGGTTACAAGTGTGTTGCACCCTTTTGAGTCCAAAGAATTAGAATTATTGATTTAAAATAAATATTAAATGCAAATAATGTGTTTGTTTGCAGAGGTACTTGCAGAGCAACAGTGAGGAGGCGCGGCAGCTGTTCGAGCTAATCGCACGCATGCTCGAGTATGAGCCCTCGCAACGCATCACGCTCCGGGAGGCACTCAAGCACCCCTTTTTCAATAAGCTACCGCCACACCAGAGACTCGGTATGCAATCTTTCCTATATACTTACTCACACTACACGCTTTGCACAATATAATATTTTACACAAGTTAGTCAATAAAATAAACGCTCCTTGTATAGTAGAATTGCAATATTTTGCATTTTAAAATTAAATTTATTGCAACTCATCATAATGTACAAAAGAAATGTAAGCTTAGTCGTTTTGAATCTTGACTAAATAAAAAAGAATAACGCATCTTAACAGCAATTTAGCGAGAATTTGGTAAAAAAGTCAAGTGAAAGAAGAAAAGAAATCAACCAAAATTGAAATATTTTATGAGAAAGAAACTTTTGACAAGTTTTGAAATTAATACATAGACGTCTCTAAATTTAATTATTACGACGTCTTTATTATATTTAATACATGACGAGTTTCTTTTGTTATAGGACACCAGTTGACAAGGCCGTCGTTTCTTAGGTCAGGCCTTTTTGTCGTTAGACGCTTTTCTCGAGGCTTTCTTTTTCTTTATTACTCTCATCGGAACACATGTTGCGACATGACGTTACGATGAATTGTTTTTTATTGTGTTGTTAGTGTGCAGTTAATTTCTTTCGCTTAGTATTATATAATTTCATCGTACATAACCTCTGCTTTTTGTATTTTTCGATACCAGTGGGATCTCTAATGTCGCTTTAAACTCGCTCAGCGAATATACATTACTACTAAATAGAGATTTCGCTGGCATCCTAATCTGTACCTACTGAGTAGTGACCGACCGGACCTCCTCGAATAGTCAAACTGACTAGTGCGCATATTACAGGCAATGACCGACCGCGGTGCAACGGTGAGAGTTCCGGGTCTCGAGAGCGATCACACTCGCTCAGCAGGTGAGCGACGCTCCGCGCTAAGCACTCCGCGCCGCGCCGCCGCAAGGGAGCGTGACGGGCAAGTGCTGGTCCCGCGTGCGACCGGACCGGTGCCTCGCTACGCCCGTACTGGTCCCGCGCCGCGCCCGTGCTGGTCCCGCGCCGCACCCTGTATGAAGATAGTCATTAAGCGCCGACTTGTCGATGCGCGCTGATGCCTGTGTATAGTTGTACAGTTGTAATGAAGTGATAAGTGATAATTATTTTGTCGAACATTGTAATCTAGGTAATATTTTGTTGTGAATCGGTACTTCTCAATTTGTATTTATAAAGTAACTATTATCCAAAATAAAGACTGTCAGTCTGACGTTGCTTTTTATTGACTCTTTGACACTGTAAATAACGTAACAGTCTGTAAAGCAGCATGCGGTGTGATTGTATGCATATTATATCTACTATATAAATATGAAAATTTAAACTGAAAAAATATTTTTATATTAGATCCGTTTTGCATTAAAACAAAACGGATGTTATGTGCTTGATTGCGATAGGGAGAATCTGGTATAAGTACCAGCTTCTCCCTATCTGTTGTTTTGTGTAAGCTTCAAAAACTCAAAAAGTTCTGCACCAATAAAATAACCACACCAGTTTGAATTCCCCTTGGCGGCTAAAGGCGTCACAAAATGAGCCAAGTAGTCTTTAGTGTTAAGGTGTTTTATAGAACATGTATGGTATCACCAATAGGTGATATCAAATGAAAGAGCCTTGTAACCAAACAGATTTAGACCCCTGAGGTAGAAAATTGGCATTTTCTCCACCATCCTATTGACACACCAGAAACACTGGTGTAGCTAGGCATAGGCGAAGTGGGCCGTCGCCCACGGCCTCGCACTTAGGGGGCCTCGCGAGGCTCCTTTAAATTATGCCTCCAGACTATCACAGATGACTAATTAATTGGCATGATTGGCGGGTGGACCAAAATGAATAATTAATATTGTTTTAGATATTTAATTGCTAGTTCTATAGATATTATCTTCTTTTACATCTTTTAAATTCTTATTTTGCTTTATACAGAAATACTAAATCATTGTATGTCTGACTTGGACATTAGTGATGACGATAGCTTTCACTCTATAAACAGCCTTAATAATAGTTACCAAGATACCTTCACTCTAAGGGAGTCTTCAGTACCAGTTTTCGGATGCTCCGCGGAATTTTAATGTAGTCCATGTTAATGCCCAGAGTATTCCTGCTCATTTCTGTGATATTCTGGCTACTTTTAATTGCAAGAACATACTGGTCATTTTAGTCTCCGAGATCTGGTTAAAACCATGTTTACTATCCACATCATGTACTCTTCCAGATTTCCACCTTATAAGGAATGATCGCGTGATTGGTGGTGGGGGTGGTGTCGGTATATATCTACGACAACATATTCCCTACACAATTGTAAGTATGTCTTCACAACCCCCATCACCGGACGCAGGTGAGAGCATCTGAGAAAATTTTACTGGGTGTTTACTATTCGCCCGCACGTACTAACTTCTTTTTCTCGTTTAAAAATTTACTAGATTTTTTTTCTTCTTACAGTCACACAATAGTAATGGGCGACTTCAATACTTGTTTACGAAAAAATGATTGTCGCTCTTCTTCACTGCGCAGGGTAGTGGACTGTAATAATGTATCACTCTTAACACTTGATGCTACGCATCATTTGCCTAACTGCACTCCCTCTCTTCTTGACCTTATTCTTGTCTCTTCCACTGATCATGATATCAGCCATGGTCAGTATCCAGCTGACGCATTCTCTTATCATGATTTGATATTTCTGTCTTATGCCGTCCGCCCACCTAAGGCAAGGCCGAGAATTCTTGTGCAACGCAATTTTAGCGGCATGGATCTTGCCAAGCTTAAAGAGGATGCCGGTAACATTAACTGGTCTACTTTAATAAACTCTCAGTGTAATGAAAAAGTCAAAATTCTTATCGTAAAGATTGCGATCGATCAATATTAAACATTTACCTTTATGTCCAAAAAATGTTTGGCGAAAAACAAATACAAGCGTCGACCTACGGAAACTAACCTACAAAAATATGTGTGCCTGAGAAATTTCTGCAATAAGATATGTAGAAATTCACAACGCCAACATATCCACTCTTCCGTAGAAAACGGAGATCCAGCGAAAGTCTGGAAATTTCTAAAAACATTGGGAGTCGGGAAGTCTTGCCAAGACTCTATTCCCAAAATATTAATATTGATCTACTTAATAAACACTTCTCCCCTTCGTCTGATATTAATGACAAAACTAAAGCCAGTACTCTTAAATATATTTCTTCTACCCCAGCTTCTGACTATCCACCATTCGTCTTTGATCAATTGTCTGATTGTGATGTTGAGAAGACCATTCTAGCGATTTCATCGAATGCAGTAGGAGGTGACTGTCAGCCGAAACATGATTCTTAATATCCTTGACGAAATCCTACCTATCCTATGTAATATCTTAAAACACTCCATGACAAGTGGTATTTTTCCGTCTGCGTGGAAAGATGCTCAAATAATCCCTCTACTTAAAAAAGCTAAACACATCATTTTCTGACTATCGACCCATATCCATTTTACCTTTCCTGTCTAAAGTACTCAAACGCCTCATCCACCCTCAACTGAGTAACTTCCTTTCCAAAAACTCTTTACTGAACCCCTTCCAAACCGGCTTTCGTCCTGGTCACAGTACATCTTCTGCACTTGTTCACATTTCAGATAGGGTAAGACTGGGCATGGATAGTGGAAAGATTATGGTACTCACATTACTTGATTTTATCAACGCCTTTAATACTGTAGGTTTTCACATTCTGCTTGGTATACTGCGGTGTCTTAACATATCTCCAAAGACAATTGATTGGTTTCATAGTTAGCTGTCTGGTCGCCGGCAGCGTATTTGCATTGAAGACTCGGTGTGTTCCTGGTGCAGTATTTCTGCTGGTGTACCCCAGGGTGGCGTTATATCTCCTTATTCTTCGCTGTTTTTATAAACTCCATCTATAATCAATTAAGTTCGTTCTACCACCTTTATGCAGATGATTTACAAATATATAAACAAGCTCCGCTTAATATGTTATCGGGGGCATTCAACAAAATCAATGCTGACCTATCGCTCATTGGCGAATGGAGTCATAATTACGGAAAGACGCAGGTAGGGGAAAGTGGGGGGGATTCATACCCCGGGAGCATTCGTACAACGGTCATAATTCGAATACGCAACATAGTGGCGCCTTCGTATCTGTGTGTGTGATGCCCACTCACATGCACAATCTAACTGCGGAGTGGCTCGCCAGTGCGGCCGCCGGCTTTGATGTGACGGGACGTTACGTGTTTTCGCTTTGAGTAAGTAATTTTTCGATGCAACTTTAAACGTATTTATCTTCTATAAGTTTTGCTGCCATTATTAAACCGATTCTTTGTGGTGTTTGGGTACATATTTTATTACTTGACGATAATCTCAGCAGTTATTTTTATTTGCAATATATTAGTCGAATTTCTTGGTTGGGGTGGCTTCGTACATGTATGAACGGGGTGGATTCGTACTGTACGAATGTACCCCACGTATGTAATACAATCTTGTTTCTAAGAAAACATTGTTTACAGGTCCATGCCGCGAGTATATGTTAAAAAAGGGACAAGACCAGGGCAGGTCGATGAAGTTGCTATGCAGTCTGCGATCAATCAGAAAATCTGCAGAAAAATATGGCGTAAAACCTACCACACTTGAAAGCCGCTTGACGAAGTTGAAAAACTCTTCTGATGAAGAGAGAAATAACTCTCTAAAACGTGTGTTTGCTTCAAAGTTTAGTTCTAATCAAGTATTTTCAGTTGAGGAAGAGACTTTATTGAACAAGTACATTTTAAAATGTTCTACAATGCATTATGGGTTAACAATTGAACTAATTATATAAAACACCCACCTAGCTGGGATCACAATAAAATGGCAGGGAAAGATTGGATGGAATGCTATCGTAAGCGGAACGAAAATTTGAGTTTGAGGAAGCCTGAAAACACGAGTGCAGCAAGATCTTACGGATTCAACAAAACGGCCGTGAGTGATTTCTACGACAATCTGGAGAAGATTTTGGTCAAATATAAACTCTCTGCAGATAGAATCTACAATTTTAATGAATCCGGGATATCGACAGTACTCAGCACGCCTAGGGTATTGGCTGAGAAAAAACAGAAAAAAGTTGGCCAATTTGTATCGGCCGAAAGAGGAGAACTCGTTACGTTTGGGGGGATCATATCAGCAAGTGGTAACACCATTCCGCCCTTATTCATTTTTCCCAGGGTTCATTTTAAGGATCACTTCATGACGGATGCCCCGGAAGGCAGCCTAGGAGCAGCTACGAAGAGTAGTTGGATAAACGCCGGTATATTTTTGGAAGTACTGCAACATATTAAAAAGAAATCATGCTGCACCAAAGATAATCCCATTCTGCTACTGGTCGACAACCACGAAAGTCATGTGACAATCAAAGCTGTGGATTACGCGCGTGATCACGGCATTATTTATTTGTCGTTTCCACCCCACACAACACATCGTCTACAACCTTTAGACGTGGGAGTATTTGAACCTTTCAAAGCCAAGCTGAAGGTAGCTTTTAATGATTGGCACGTGACCAATGCGGGGAAGACCCTCAATATATACGACGTACCAAAACAGGTTAAAATTGCATATTTTGATGCGCAGCCACTTGATCTGCAATCTACCTCTGCTCAAGGATTAATAACGCCAGAAATAATCCGACCCTACCCTAAAGTGGCTAGAGATGTAACTAAAAAGTCCAAAAAAGGTAAACAGCCTGGTAAATCTAGGGTTTACACAAATACGTATGAAAAAAAAGGGTAGAAGAAATAGAAAAAACAAAACAGTTGAAGAAGCAAGAACAAGAGAGAAAACAAAGGGCTAAAGAGATGAAGAGGCCATTAAATTTGATATCGGGTAAAGATATATTAAGTAAACCAAAGAGAAAGAAGCAAAGTACAGATACTGAAAGTGAAGATGAGACTGACATGAGTTTAAGAGAAAGTTCCTGTTCTCCCATTGAAGAGATTGCTGAAGGATCGGATGTGGAGAACGAAACTCCAGTTTTAACTGAATTCGTGAAAGAGAAACGCTTTATTCTAGTGAAGTTCGAGAAGAAAAAGTCTGTCAAACACTATGTTGGTCAGGTGATTACCAAATATAGTCCCACTGAGTACAAAATTTCATTTTTAAGAAAGAATCCCGGCGGTTGGAAATTTGTTTTTCCCAATAACACACACGAAGGTACTGTTTACATATCAGACATGGTATGTATATTGCCGGAACCCAAATCTGCTTCTACAGCAAGAACAGCTAATATATTTAGCTTTCAAAAAGATCTATCTATGTACGATGTGCAATAAGTAGATTCATAAAAATATTGTGACTCTTGTTACCCTAATGGTAAATGTTAATGTTGATTAGTTCCTATAGAACATAAGATGTTAAATAATATTAAAACAAAGAGATTAAGCAATTGTATTATTAAGTACTTAAGCACCCAAGGCTGATTCTGTGAAATTTTGATCTCAATAAACGTTACATTTTCTATAAATAGCATTATTAATCATGATGTACGGAAGCACCCCACTATGTACGAAGGCACCCCAACACATGTACGAAGCTACCCCGTGAGTGGGGCACATTCGTACGACTTCCTTTTTTTTTTAATCGTCATAGCTTGGCCATGCTTCTTTCTATAAACAAGCCGTCTAAAGGAACATTGTAGGCAAATATTTAAGCAATCTTGCAATGCTCAAATTGTTTTCAAATAGCGTTTAGTTTTTCTGCCATAGGGCTCGAAGTGAAAAGTGTACGAATCCCCCCCACTTTCCCTTATGTGTAATTGGTAGCCCTGGGTTGATCTCAAGAATTAACTGGACACAATTGCCTCTAATTCAATTCGATGGCACTTTACTTGAGATCAGTACTGTCCTGAAAAATTTAGGTATCTATGTAGATAATACTTTATCTTGGGGTCCACATATAAAAAGAAGTTAGTCGTAAGTTATTCTGCCGGGTCCCTGCGAAGACTGCGAAACTTTCTTCGAACGGCAACTAAGGCTGTACTTGCACAAGCACTGCTCCTACCAACTCTCGACTATACCGATGTCAGCTACCTGAATCTCACTGAAGCACAAAAGCTATCTAAGAGCAATCTCTTCCAGGCATCCTAAGGTTGCCTGGAAGAGATTGCTCTTAGCAATCTGGTCGCCCTTTGTACATTACATGTCTGATATTTTTATGTACTATGATACTTGTAAAATGTGTGCAAATAAACAGTTATTATTATTATTTACGCTCGAATTTGTTTCCTAACCCAGGAGAAGCTGCAGGCTTCCCCCGCCTTTTGGCCCAAAGAAATGGAATGACGGTGCCTTACCAGGACCGTTTAGACCCCCCTCGGGGCTTTTAACTTGCGAATGCTATTGAGCGAGCGGGTAAGAGCTGCACCTCCGCGTTTCCTGTGAAACCACAGGGATTCCGTTTTATGGCGAGATAACCTTAGGCCCAGACCGCTAATCTTTTGGACGACGCAAATTATTCCTACCTCGGCCAGCTACAAGTCCTTCTTCGAGACGACACTGATTTCTAGGGGAAGACTAGTTTTCGGAACTGCATTATGCGCGAGGTTCCACAGAAGAGATCCGAGTTCCAACGCCTAGGGAATCCTACTTCGATTAGGGAGGCACTGGTGTATCACCAGTTGCCCCCGTACCTGCGAGACATCATCGACGTTTATCTCCGCGACAGGTCCATATCGTATATGGGTCGGGACGGCGAAGATTGCCGAAGGGAGGTCACATGCGAGGTTCCCCAGGGGTCAGTCTTAGGACCACTTCTGTGGAACCTCGCGTATGATGCCGTTCTGCGGACCAGCCTTCCCCCAGGATTGAGTGTCGTCTGCTATGCGGACGACACTCTAGTACTGGCTGGGGGGCATGGCTTCCAGGAGGTCCTAGAGCTGGCCGAGTCAGGGGTGGCTTGTGTCGTCCAAAAGATCAGCGGTCTGGGTCTAAGGGTTGCACCTCATAAGACGGAAGCCCTGTGGTTCCATAGGAAATGCAGAGGTGCAGTTCCCACCCGCTCGATTATCAGAGTGGGGGGAACAGAGGTCGAGGTCGGTCGGTACATCAAATACCTCGGCCTCACCCTGGACAGCCGTTGGAGCTTCGAGGATCATTTCGAGCGGTTGATGCCCCGAGTTGGCGGGGTGACGGGCTCCCTACAGAGGCTATTGCCTAATCTGGGGGGTCCGCAGGAGGAAGTTCGCCGCCTCTACTGTGCGGTGATACGATCCATGGCCCTCTATGGAGCGCCGATATGGGCAAAGCGCTTATCGGCCTCCTCCCGCTGCCGAGCTAAGCTCAATCAAGCGCAGCGGGTAGCGGCCATTCGGATCGTACGGGGATACCGCACCATATCGTCGGAGGCGGCGACAGTCCTGGCACGTTTCCCGCCTTTTGATATCCTGGCGGATATGGACGCTAGGGTCTACGACCAGACTCGCGCGATCCGCCTGGGTGAGAGCGGGAACGACCAGGACGAGCTCGAAATGCGGCGAAACGCTCACCGACAGGCCCTGGCGCAGTGGCGCGCGGAGAGGGCCGATCCCGAGCAAAGAAGACGTCGACGACGTAATGAGCAGCCGACGGGACCGCGGGCCGCCAGAGAGTGGGGACCTCTGGTGGCAGATTAATTGCTGCGGTAGGGGAAAGGATGGCAGCCTGATCGCACTGAAAATGTGATCGGGCTGCAACATCTAGATAGGCTGAGAGGCAGGGAGAAGCCACTGGCTTTCCCTGAGATGGGAGCTAGCTAGGTGCGGCGTCGATCTGGGGGACCTGAAATCACATGGCCCGGGTTCTCCCCAGAGCAGGGCGCCTAAGGCTCGCCGTCGGAGTGGTTTTTAGTGGAATCACCACATACTCCTGGCTCCTATATCCCCAAGGAGCCGGAGATCCGAAGGGATTTTCCACTCCGTCAACAAAAAAAAAAAAGGGAATCTTACTTGTACCCTCCAACTTCAATTCAATTAATGAAGTCTTTACCTGAGGACTTCAGTAAAGCAAAAAGCCGAAGAAATTACTTTGGTAAGAAAATAAAACCTTTTTTCAAATCTATAAGCTTTCTGCCATCACGTATTTTTTTCACTATCATAAGTAGGTAGGCGAATTAGACGTATTGGGCACCTGTCTTGGGAACGAAAGAAAAAGAGGCCTTTCTGATGCGACTTCGCCGCGACTATATTAATCCACGCTACGCCTACGAATATGAGAACAAAGACTTACAACCTACATTAACGCCTTCCTTAGATCCATACTTTATTAATGTGTATCCATAGAAAGTGCATGCAGTGTTCGTTTGCAACTTTGCGTTAATAACCGTTATATGTTATAAACGTAATTTTATTACAGTTACATTTCTATGCAACCCAATATAAATTAACAAATAGTAAAGTTGTTTTAGTGTTAGAAAAATGCCATCCTTCCCGTTGATTTAAAAAACATTTATATTTACTTTAACTTTACCATTAAGACCCATTTAACTTTTTAAGTCTTAAGAATATCGAAATTTGTACTCTGATGTTTAAATCTGAATTTTAATTTTCTTTCTTGGAAGTTAGGTAAAGGAACATATCACCACTAATCGAGTCGGTCTCAGCTAGTAGTCAATATTATCTACCAATTTACAGTAAGTAGGTACCTAATAGATAATATTAACTATCCGAAACGGTGGATATGAAATAGTACCTAATTTATATGATACTAGCTGAGATCCGCGGTGTTACCCGCGTTTGTTGTTATAACCGCGGGCAATGCCGCGGGGCGAAGCTAGTCTAAAAAAGTAGCCTAAGTTACTCCTTATGTCATCAGCTATTTACCAGTGAAAGTCCCGTCGAAATCGGTCCAGCCGTTATAGAGATTACCCATAACAAACAGACACAAAAATTTTAAAAAATGTTATTTTGGCATATGTACCGTGTAAACATACATATGCATTCAGTAAAAAGCGGTTATTTTAATATTACAAACAGACACTCCAATTTTATTTATTTGTATAGATATATAACATTTTCATTATTTTAAGTCAATTGTCAATAATACCACATGACATTCTAATAATCAATTTATTTCAAAATTTACACATCAATATCGTCCATTTTAGGTTTTTTAAGTTTATCTTATAGGTACTATAATTTATACGGAAGGTTCCTAATGTACAAGTTGGCATTTCAGTTACACAAAAAACCATTATAATACATTATACAAAAAAAAACTTGATTAAATAAATACAGAACAATGTCGAGTTTCAATTTCATCAATAAATAAAACTTAAGGACAAATATAACTAATTATTACAAAGTTTATTTGGAATGGTAAACATAGAAAATTATAGTTACAAGTTAGACTATTGCAGGCGTCTCTTTAAAAAAACGTTTAAAATATATGTATTAAAAATTAAAATAACTTCAAAAAATAAAATAGGATTTGGATAAGTTAATAATGTAATTAATATATTTGAATAGTCCGGTTATAAGGAAGTCATCTAATAAAAATTAGAACTTATCATCATCCCTTCAGATAACAATGATGTAAGCATTTGAGCACAATTTGAAACATTATTACCATTGTTTTCACCCTTCTCGCCATTTTTATACAACACAAGCGGGAACAATCATTGCTTTCCTAAAGTAGTATTCCGCATGGTTACTCGATATTGTACATTTCAATTTATTTACAGTAACTTAAAAGTAGGAGATGACCTTCAAGCTAACATTGATAATGCTGTCTCCAAGACATTAATTATATACTTACTTTTAGATAAGCAACGAGTTACAGCTAAATACATAAGCATATTCAATGGGATAGTACACTATAATTATATTAAATCAAAAATTGAGAGAACAATTCGAGTATTTACATATAGACATGCGTAGCGGGAGATTTATAATTTGGAATGTTTCGTTCGGCAAGCATTTGTATACGAGTATATTATCTGTAATACAATTATGTGCAATCTGATGATCAGTTCTATATAAGAGGAGCTAAAGCTAAATATATATTTACCTATGTGGAACTTTGACTGACTTTCAGTCTATGGTTTTTAAAATATTCCTAAGAACACCTAAAGCTAGATATCTGTTCTTTTAGTCATAAATTACTTTCCGATAGACGGTAGTGTTTGACAATACCAAAGACGTTGCCATCTCCCATACTATGATGATATTGTACAAATCAAAAATTTAATGAAACTGTAAAACAACAAATTCTCAGTTCTGGAACCAGAATTTCTTATATCAGTAGTACGCTGGATGATGATTCAAAAGGCAGAAATGTGACATACGAATTGCACTAAGCTTCATCGCGATCCTTGCACAAAGACATGGATCAAGCTATAATAGACCTTAAAATCCTTTGAAAATGTCAATTATGGAATCATATAGATAAAATACTAAGTCCGATACGTGTAGTGTTTCTAATGAGATTAAATTGTAACTTTAGTATATTTTATGTAGCCTATCACATTCTAGGATAGCACTCAGTGTAATGAAGGGTAAACGATCAGACGGGTCACCTGATGTTAAGCGACTACCGCCAAGTACACACGATTTTATGTGAGAATCGATGTTAGACGGGTGGTGCTGTAACAGATGTCGCTAAATATTAAATCACTAAGCACACAGTGCTGTGAATCATCGCCTACGTTCTAGTCGAGGTCCAGTGAGATGTCTCCGGCTACAGCATGTCGACGCGGGGCGAGGATTCCGGCCACGCGTACACCTGCGGAAGCGCGTTTGTGTACCGATCATCGTACATTTGCGCGCGGATGAATGCCTCCGTGTCTGCCGGTTGGGGCTGCACTGACGCTTTGTCTGAAAAGGAAATATTGACAGTTGGTTGTACACTTTTCGTAATTTGGTCTTGATTCTACAATCGGGGGATGATTCATTTTGTGTCCTTTACGATACCATAATGCCGGATAATTAGCTGACGTGATCTCTAATTTGCCTAATTTAACTTTTGCGCAATGTATTAATTGAAAAAGTTCGAGTTAGAAAAAAGGTGATACACTGTTATACACTTTCCCATATTATTATCCTTCCTTGGAGGTTAAAACCTTGAGAAACTACTTCAATTAAATAATTATTTAAGTGCCGGATGGCTAAGAATTCACATAACAGTCACCAAAATCTCTCTATTTGATAACTTCCTTTTTGAGAAAGTCTTCGTGTCCAAAAGTCACAACAGTTTAACAAGAGCACTTATATGAAGTAATAAAACTGATTGGTTACTTACTGCACTTGTAGGCGTGTTCGACAAGCTTTTTAGCTATCTTAACGGAGCAATTCTGTATTTCTGTCAGCGGTGGGTACAATGAACCTTGTGCCAGGTCCTCGTCAGTTACGATTTCAGATAATGCCTTTAAAAAACAAATTTCACTATATAAACTCATAAAATAATAAACGTAAAAATACTTATAGTGGTAGTTAATGGTAACATTATAATTGACTTTGGCAACTTTACGACTGACACAACATTTGGGACTGCAATGGTACAAAAAAAAAGATAAACATCTAGGACCTAGATTCTTGGTCTTCTATCAATTGTGGGCCATATTAAACCATTACCGAATGGAATTGTAAGCTTTACATCGAATTAAAGAATTATCAAATATTGTTAGACGAGTATGTGCAAAATTTATGAAAAAGTAAACTTAATGTTAGTTAACTATTACACCCACTAGTATTAATAAATTACACATATTATGCTTACTAGGAGTTACACGTATATGCGGAAGTTTACGGGAGTGTAAATAAAACGAATAAACGTTAAGTAACGTTTTATAATTTTTCCTGTTACTACGTCCTTACATTATGTTTATGGAAGTACCTTGAACACGTTTGTAACTTATATCATAAATATACTGTTTTAGAAAAGGGCTGGAAATCACATACGAATAAATCCTGTGTCGTGGCGGACTTTACAAACATTCATGAAACGGACAAAAAGAACACCCAGACTCGAAACAACAATTTGTGGATCGTAAAAATTGTTGGCCCATGTGGGAATTGAACCCACAATACTCAGCGCAGTACGAAGTGACAAGGCGACCGTTTAAACTACTACGCTGTTCGTGCAGTCAATTCCTTCCTACAGACGAAGAACATACATATGTACCTCGTTATCTAGAAAATAAAGTACTGTTCCATAAGGATGATTGGCAGTAAGTACGGTATAAAATATCAAACAGCTACCTCGGCAGCGAGTAACATGAAGTCTTCGGTGATGTCGATGATGCCAGCGCTGATGATGCCCAGCGCGAGTCCGGGGAAGATGTAGGAGTTGTTGCCCTGTCCTGGTTTCAGCACCGCTCCACTCTTCGTGCGATACTCAGGGAAGGGAGAGCCAGACGCGAACACCGCACGCTCCTGTGTAATTGTCATATTATTTGAATATGAGTTAAATCCTTAAGGACGTATATTGTCAATTATAAATGAAAAATGAAAAAAAAAACTTAAGATTCACAAAAAGATACATGTTTCTCATTATTTCTCTTGTCTACAAAGTTGTGATTTATTTAAATATTTCTAAATAGCAAATCTGCGCATGAGCACAATAACATCGTATAGTTTATCGAGCTTTGAAAGCTGTTGAGCAAAGAGAAGTGGAGCTAACGTCAGTGTTGGAGTAAGCCTCGATAGCGGTGCACTCGGCCTTGCTTGTGGGGTTTGACAGCGCGAAGATGACGGGACGCTCGTTGAACTCGGCCATCTTGCGCAAGATGGCCGCCGTGAACGCGCCGCCAATGGCCGCCGCACCTGCAACGGAGCCGTGTCACGATCATTATGTCTGTATAAGCTACGATATAATGATGAGCCTCCTGATGGTAAGCGAGTACCTGTATTCATTATAAACAATATTCTAAGAGTTCCAGCAAGAGTAGCATGTTTTGTTATGGTCCTCTGTAAAATGCGGGTGTTTTATACACATTACACTCAGTACTCGGCGGTTGTGACAGTTAAAGTGTGCAACAGAGTTGTCGAGACCCACACATGACAAGATATACCTAGTTTCTTAGAGCACATGCTCCCCCAATTATAAACTTTTAAAATTATTCACTATAATTTATGATTTTTAACTAATAATAATAACATACCAATAAGAACAGAAGGTTTCGCAATATCAACGACTTCGGCCAAGGTCTTTACGGGTGGTCGTGCTTGGGCGAACTTCTCCTTGTGTTCGTTAAGACCTCCCTCTGGCCTGTTCTTTACGATAAGACCCTTGGAGTCGACCATAAAGATGCGACGCCGAGCATCTTCGTCCGAAGTGCCTTCTGTCTTCATAGCCATCACACACAGCTCCGCGATACCCAGTGCCGCCTGTACATTGATATTATTTAAGCTAGGAAAATTAAGAATCTTTTCCAGAGTAAATGTCTATCATATTGAACTTATTGCTCTTAAAAAGAACATCGATTACTTTTAATTGTGAAATTGTGATTTTGTCAGTTTTGTTTTATTTGTGAGAAGGTCGTTCTCGTGTCCTAAAAAAATCAAATAGATGCATGTGTAAACTATTATTTTGCTCTCGCAACGATCTGAGGCCCAAATGCGAGTTTCTTTCAGATCTACTCGATCGTCACGGTAACCGCGTTTTGACCCCCCGATTGGCCCGCACTGAACTCTCCACCAATCGCAATGCTAAACGCGCTCGCCGTCGAGAGCGAGTCGATGTAAAATGAACTTGCACTAGGCCCTCGGATATATCATTAAAAGAGTTTTCACCTCTCCTGCTCCTTGGAACACAATTGTGTTCTCTGACAATTTCTTTTTGGTAATCCTCAAGCTGGCCACCAGCCCGGCGACTGCGACGGCTGCTGTGCCCTGGATGTCATCGTTAAAAGTGCAGTACCTTAAAAAGAGATTAGACGTTAGATAAATAATGACAGCGAAAGCGCCAAGAGAATTCTCTGCTTGGAACCCATACCTCGGAATAAAAGATCAACCAAAAAAATGAAGTAGATAGTCAAAATATTCACGAATAATTTGTTTCTATCAGTTATATGTACCTACCGGCAGAAAACTACCAGTGGTTGAAGTCATTTGGAGGTTAAAGAAAATTTTATCTTTGTAATGGGTATTGAATTGTGTTTGATTCTGACATTCATAATCATTCCTTTTCTCCTCAAGATACCTGGTCACAAAACGCATTACAAAGTTTACTCACTTGCCGCGGTACTTGGCGAGTAGTCTGAAGGCGTTGGCGTTCGCAAAGTCCTCGAACTGTATGAGACAGTTCTGTCCGAAGCGCCGAACGACGGCGTCCATAAATTCGTCGATGAATTCGTCGTACTCCATGCCACGCACGCGACGCTGACGAAGGCCGATGTACAGAGGATCGTCTAGCATTGTTTGGGTGTTTGTACCAACATCTGTTTTACACAAAAACTATTTTGTAATTAGGATCTTAAAAAGTCTTACCTAATAACAATAAAGGAATTTTGTTTTAACTGTCACACTTATAAAACGTTAAGAGTAGTCTAGTAAATAGTTAATAAACTGTTTTATATAAATCAAATTGTAAAAGTGTACATATTAGAAAAAAGAGTTTACCCAATGTGATAGGCAGGCATTGGTGAGGCTTGATGCCTGCGAGCGCCGTGTACAGAGCCAGCTTGCCGATAGGAATACCCATACCGCAAGCGCCCAGATCACCTAAACCGAGAATACGCTCTCCGTCGGTTACTACAATGGCGCGGACGTCTGTTTCGGGCCTGGTAGAAGAAATTATTAACATAAAATTTATGTGAGTAACACAACAAAACAACAAGCGCATTACAACAGGAAAGGTAATCAAGAAATGAACTCGATGGACAGAAAAGATTTTTTTGCTTATAGGGTGAAGTGGAAACTGTAAGAAAACCCGAGAAAGTAAGTTGAAATGGCTATAGTCAGGAAATCCAAGACCTCGTACCTAAATCATTATACAGGCACATATATGAGATGAGCACTCCTATGAAAAAAGTACACAGTAGTAAAGCTCCTGTCACTTTTATTAAATGGTTTAAATAATCAAGCTGAAGAAAAACCTACTCACCAATTCTTGAGCACATCATAAACGTGACACTTGTCATGTATGGTAATAAAAAGTCCCCTAGGGCGGCGGTACACCAAGCCGAACTTCTGACAGGCCAGACCCACGGTTGGGGTGTACACGATTGGCATCATCTCGGCTACGTTCTCTGCGACGAGGCGGAAGAATAGGTGCTCATTGCGATCCTTTAAAAAAACAATAATGTATAAGTACATATATAAAAAAGGGGAGAACTCTTCTCACCTCTGTGGTTTTACTGAAAGTTTTTGTTTTTAGTTCCGATTTTCGTCAGTCATACCGTATTTCTTATTATATTTATTTTATTTTGCAGCTTTTCTCAAGAAACGGCTTAAGTGAAGGAAAGCGTTCAACTATGCTTTTTTCGGAATGTTAATTATGTTTGTAATATCCTGTCAGTTGTGTCAGTTTCAGTTACCGAGCTAACTGGCCTTGGTACCTAACCGAGGCGTCAGCTAGCATTACTGATCGGTAAATGATTATTGGAGAAGAAAATTTTCATGTTTCCCTAAAACACATAAGGATTTTCAGCTGTACCATCTTATTGATAGTTAGTAAGTGAAAGAAATAATCTTGTTCTGCCAAGGTTATATTTTAGATTAGTAAATTTTTATAACTTCAGAATGTTTAGGTCGTAGGATGTCACGTTAACATCCTCAATGAGTCGTAATTGAAAATGTAGACAATAGACTAGAAGCGGTAAGCGCACGCAGTATTTTATACGTGCTTGAGATGTCGTACTGTAGTGAGTAGCTATTTGCTATAGAATGAATGTTACGGGTCTCCGGATTTGACGCATTCCCTCTTCTTTGCCGTGACCTCAGCAGTAAGTAGAGGTATATTAACCATACTCCTACCAGTAATTTATTTTAAAGTACGTTGTTAATGATAACCTGACACACTGACAAATTCAATTAAAACTAACTCAGGAATAAAGAACTCAATACACTCGACGCTGTAGCGGTTGGCGACTACTAGGCTAATCATACAGTCAATAATATCCGACACACGACGCCATCTAGCTTCAAACTAAGAATGAAAACTAGATTGACTGATAGAATACTTGTATACTTTTTTGTTAATACATACATAATATACGTACATAGAAGACATCTAAACTCCGAAACAAATATTTGCAAATAACATCCGGTCCGGAATCGAACCCGAGACCTCAGCATACCAGTCTCATACGCTACCACTGCACCAACGATAATCAAATCTACGCTTTAAAGTATACTATCTTCTTTTAGTCAATTTTTTGTTTGGGATTGTGAGTTTAATCTCTCGCTTAGAATACGAGGACGCTTGTACCAGAACCGAGGACGCTTGTACCAGAACCTCTTGAACCATCATGACCTATGTACATTTGAATGTATATGTAAAATTTATTGGCAGAAGAAAAAACCAAATGCGGTACAACCATATCTGTCACCATCATTCAGTACTCGTGGTGAGCGTGACTACGCTATCGGTACATCAGTTCCTGAAAATTGAGTAATACTTACAAGAAGACCCATAAGATAGATGTATTTGTTAAGAGGGTCTTCATATCTGTCAATAGAGAGCTTGCACATCTGGACTTGCTCGTCCTGAGTCTTCACTCTAGCTGGCAGGAGACCGTGGATGCCAAGGGTTTGACGCTCCTCAATTGTGAATGCCATTCCCTGGTGGACAAGAAGATTAAATTATAGGTTAACTAAATGATACCCTACTTCTGAAAATGTAGGTACAATTCATACGTAATTAAGTATAAATGATTTTGTTTAGATCTCTTTTTGATGATTGATTACGATTACGATGATTTTTCCTTGTATGGTTTAATCCTATGGTACATATTATAATGTTGATACCACGTCGAGTTGTACCTACGTGTAATTTCAACATAGCCTTTACAACAAAAGCATATTTTTTCCGTTATCTGTTACAATATCGCATGACTTTGACAAATTATATTTATTATCATCCTTAAAAATTATTACACCCATATCATCATCAGACAACACTTGAAGTTGTGTCGGCGGGCTGACCACAAGCTAGTAACTAGTGTTCTAACACGCTTTTAATTAATTTTTGGAGTCATAAATTACTTTTAATAGTAGGTGTAGACACTAGCAATTACCGCTAGTAGAGAGTACTCGGCACCTTAGCGGAATCGTGTAAGTAGAGAGTAACCCTAAGCCGCAAAACACCTTTCTGACCGCGACCTTAATGTGCAAACAACAATGTATGTTACGCGTGTGGTATTTGAGCAAATGAGAATTAATTAAAGGTAAAGTGGGTAACGCGAATAACCTTACTTGATTCCTCTTAAAGCATATACAGCCTTGTCTGTTCATTTGACATATGTATATCTGGGTAAAATATTAGTACGAGTCGGTAAAGTAAGATATAAGGATAAGAACAGAACAAAGGGATCATTAACACATTATTTCACATGAAGCGAGTTACTACATTTAATACACTGTTTGTTTTTAAATTTTATGCTTTAGAATTCTAAAAAAATAGAAATTTAGAAATTCAAAATAACCTCTCAAAATGAGTTTGGTTATTGAGTAATGACGAAACAACCCGTAATTGAAATATTATAAGTTTAATTCTACATAGAATGATTCTACACTGAATTCTACACATCTTCTACTGAAACTATAAATTTAAAAAAGTATCTTGTACCAATTCTTTTTTTTTCGAATTTTTCGAATGTAGGCCTCTCATTCCTTCATTTTCCTGATGTTTACATTAACTAGAGTAGTACTACAAATATATAGTACTAAATACCTATGTAGGTACAATACAAAAAGTGACTTAGTATGTAGTATGTAGGTACAATACTAAATTAACCACAGTCGGCTATAGAACCACGAGAGAAAAATCGATCAACACATTGCCTAATATTCTCAGAAGGAAATACCATTGAAACCATTACTTAGTAGGCACTAATATGAATATAACTGGCCTAGTAAGAAGAGTTTAACCCAGTAAAGACCCAGCAGTGACTTACGAACAAACCGAGTTATGACACTCGGGAAGTCAAAGCAAGAAATTAAACTGTCTGGGAACCCGCCACGAATTTAATCAGAAGAAAATTAGAGGAGTTAGAAATACAGTAAATTCACTTCCCTCCTTAGCAAAGCGGGAGACAAAATGAAGTAAAAAAGGGAAAAACCCTTTTAAACAGGGAAGCACCACGGCCACAAAATATTACGGGTAATAATACTATATTTGATTTCGATAATATGTATGTCAATTTTATTTATAACTAGCTGGTGCCCGCGACTTCGTTCGCTTAGAATTTGAAAAGCGCTTGAAATTTTATAGGATTCTTTCTGAGAGAAAATAGCCTAAGTTACTCCCTTATATACACAGCTACCTGGTAGTAAAAATATATTTAATATCAGTCAAGCCGTTTTGAAGATTACCCGGAAAAAACAGACAGACAGACAAAAAATGTTTAAACTGGTTTTTAGGCATAGCTATCGTGTAAATAACCGTGAGAGCTTGAAAAACTATTATTTTGACATTACAAACAGCCACTTCAATTTTATTTATTTGTATAGATTTTTATTTGCCTGAAAACTTTTTCAAAGTACTACTCTAACATGTAAAACAAAAAGCCAAATTCTTGCAGCCGTTCTTAAATTTTACGCTTATCAACAATTTATTTTATTTTTATTCTATATGTAAAAGATAAGCACGTATGGTATGCGTGCATGTTTATCTGCATCCAGTTGTTTCAAAAGCAATACTAATACAGTACCTAACTAGATTTTTACAGTGCAGATACTGGAGCAACGATCTTATCAATAAGATAAATCCCTCGGTAATACACTGCAATATTTCCAATAATAGTAACAGCACAATCGTTCACATCTATGATAAATGACATCAAATCTCTTCACACACTGTTTTAGTTGGATTGTTTTGTCGTGGCCTGGAAGATTAAACTGTTATAGTTTACACATTTACACTCTCAACTCAGCAGCATGCCTACTATTTCAAATAAAACTCATCAGTTCATCGCACTACTGTTCATTTAATGTAGATATTTGAACTAATATTACATTCCTTTATTGGTCATCCCATTTAAACAGGAAACAATCCCATCTGAACAGGTACATAAGATTATCAGGCATTCTGTTTACTCGTACATTTGCAACAGAATCCACCAACAAAGAACAATGGCAGAAACATATTTACCTAAATCCTAGGCGTTTAAAAAATCCACTCACAGTAAACTTATAAATATTTTTTCTATGATTTATCTCAACACCATTATGTGATGTAGAAGTCCCATAAGAGATAGGATGTTTTTGAAGAACGTATTTGACCTAAGTACGTAATGTCTGATTCGCCATCACGTATAACAGGCTAGACAGGGATGCGTGATGGAAATATTATATTATGGAATGTTTTATCGAATAATTGATTTTTATAGCTTTGGCTGAAATACCTACCGAAGGTTCACGTTTAAGATTACGAATTTACTTCTGCCCACGGGTTCACTCATACGGTAAAGTGACTTTTTTTTATGGGTATTCATATTAAGGTGTTAATAAACGCATAACAATGAGCAGCCACAATCTACCTCATGCCATACAAAAAAAATTTTAGTTCTTAAAATAATACTAATAGTAAATGAAAATACAGTCGAATTGAGAACCTCCTCCTTTTGTTGAAGTCGGTTAAAAAATATGGGTATGTTAAATTTGCGTAGTCAATTTATGATACAATAAATTTAAACAAACAAATGTCAGCAATTTCATATCAAAACAATTATTTCCTTTTATACAATTGTCATTCATAAAGTCAATATCACTATAATAACATATCGCAACCAATATATTTTTTAATTTATTTTTAAATAAGTCATTATTATTATTTTAATGTAGGATGGCAGTTTATTATGCAGTTAATGTAGGCAGTTAATGGCAGTTAATGTAGGTTAGCAGTTTATTATAAATCAAGATAAGTAGAAATCATTTAGAATATTTTAAACTCTTTTTAAACGATTTTTGCTACACTAAATTAATAGAATATATGTAGTTAAGATATTTTTCAACGGAAAAAAATTATACTAAACAGAATGATGAGAAAAAGACATTGTCGATGATAATGGCACATAAGTAGACATACATTGATATTTTCAAAATGTCGATACGTTGTCGTTTGTTTCCTGTCGAGTTCCGCACTCACCTTGTCATACATATCGTTTGACACTCAAACGCTTGCCTCACACGACCATTGTTCCTGCCTTGTGTAAATGTGTTTTGAAGTACATTTATTATTTATTAAGTACATTATTAATAATTAATTTATTATTTATTTATTTATTATAGCTAGTATTACTAAGCTAAGACGTTTTCTATTGTTTTACAAATACATGCCAAGCAAGTAACGAGTTTAGAGAGTCGGCTAACACTTTCAATAGAAAAATAAGGCTGCTTATGACTAATAGTAATAATAAGATTTTCGTACATCTGACACACAATGCCATCTAGTTTCAAACACAAAATTGAGCATATGTTAGTACTTAACCTTGAAATATATAAAATCCAATATCTTTTTCCTAGACTTCTTTCGACAGTAATTTTGGTTATGCGAATGGTCAAGAATAAATTCTTAAGTGTTTTGGCCATTTTTGATATTTAAACGCTACCATTTCACTTCAAGTAAATTATCAATGGGTACCTGCCATTGCCATTTTCACAACTCAGTACCGCTTTATTATTGTTGAAGCGGATCCGGAAATGTTTTCACTAACATACTTATAATCAGCTGTATCATGACGCAATGAAGGTGACCGTTCTTGGCCGACCTTGAGTTTTGCGTCATTGGCTATAATTGTTGATCTTTAACACCATTCTGTCAAGTGTTATTTCAGCTCGTGTTCGAAGAATGTTTATATTAGTAACGTCCGTTTTAAGTTTGATCTATTTATCGTCATGTGAAAGTTAACATTCAAATACTAAATGAGAGTTTATTGCTCTTCATAATTTTCAATAGACATGATTTTCTGGAGACATATGTTTAAAAGAAATTTTAGTCATACCTCATTATTTTTTCGAGCGGTTGCGATTCGTATGGATATTAGTAACTATCTGACCTTTAATATTTTTAAATATATATACATAGACTAAAAATTAAAAAGAACGAGCGAGCTATACAGTAGTCACATATGACGTGTAACATGTGAGATCTCAACTACCATCTGCGGCTAACTCGAACCGTACACTTTTACTACTACGACTTTCTGTTACTACTGTATCTTTTCGCGAAATCGTTACTGCAGATTGCAGAAAAGCAAGAATAAATATTATACATAAATATTGTGACACCATTTCAAAAATGACAAACCTTTATCAGTGAATTATACTGTCATCTAGACGACCTACAGAACAAACTTATTTTGTACCTTGAGAATGAGGTGAAGGTGGAGTAGGTAAAATAAATTTGATAACTAGAATTAAAGGTTAAAAAATATGAGGAAATTTAAAAAAACGCCTAACATATACGCCGACGGAGCCGCGGATGTGTGAAAATTACTTAATATTTTTGGCCAACAAAGACAACATTGATCATGATACATTTAGCAGCCAGGTTGGCCAGGTCGAGGCTTGAGATAGAGATCTATTGTATTAGAAAGTTAGAGACAACGGTGCATACTTAA